AAAAAAAAAAAAAAAAAAATAACCAATCCTCGAGTTGAAAGCTTACAACTTTTATTATCTGTATTATTATTTTTATGAAGAGAAAAAGAATGTGCTTCAATATAAATGTTTATAGAAGATATATTATAAATCTACTTACAAACACAGGTTTTTACATTTTTGTTTGATAAACGTCACTTTTGTGTAATAATATTCCAAGCGTAAAACGTAACTTAAATGTTCGGAGAAAAAAACAAAAGTATGAATAAACTCATAATCGAAAGTAGGTCACCTGTTAACTGTGTAGCTAAGAAGGGCAAGGGTTATCGGAGGGGCAGCACACAATAAAAAAGAAATAAATATGTATGTATATATATATATATATATATATATATATATTTTTTCGGTAATGAAAACGTCGAATGAGGTCATAAGAGCATCAACAAGCAACTCCACTCGTTTCACCTATTAAACTAAAACACGATGAACCTCCCCGTTGTTGTCTTTGTGAATTGAACAGAGAAAAAAGAGAGGAGGAGAATGAGAGAAAGAATCATTCATTAACCCCGAACGATTAAATCGAATTCTTCCATAGCAGGAAAGTCATTATCACTGTTGTATAACGAAAACAAAAAAAAAGGAAAACGAAAGGATTATTTTGCGAGAATCATCGTTACCGCCTATGCGATCTCATCGATACGTTTTACATCGATAAAAATGAAAATAAACAAAGAAAAAAAAAACAAGAAAACGTTCTCTCTCTATTTATCATCTTTGTAAAACCACAAATATCGAAAGGAAACTCATTCGAGATAACGAAAAATATCTTCTTAACATTTTTTCTCAATCAATCATTGAACGTACGTCATTTCGGGAAAAGTTGAACATTGGTGAAAACTCTGTTCACGACATTTCACAAATGTCGAAGCATTTTTCTCGTGTTCTATTCATGCTCCTGACAGAATTCTTCTGATTTAACGTTATTTTTATTTTACTAACACATAATGTCTATTTCGACGGAAGTAAAATTTCATATTAATTACATTTTTCCTTACTTTTTTTTTGTTTAGCTTTCATGTACGAATACTGTTACATATAAATATATGATCATTCTTCGTTTAATATTATTATATCAACTTTGAAATGTTTTAGCCCCTGTAGATAGGCAACACGTTTTACAAATATATAATACAATGTTGCCTACTTACAGGCGTCAGGAAATCAAAATTTTCATTCAATCGTTAAATGAAAATCGTTGGATTACAAAACATTTATTGATCGATCTTACCGATATTTAAATGTTACAAGTACATACGTAAATTCTAGAATAACTGATTGCATTACTCATTACTGAATATTACATAAACACTGACTAAAGTGCATAGCATCAAATTGGATTTTGAAAATCAATCGAATCATACAAGTCTATATTATAGTCTGGCTTAATGATACATTACTTGTCGAGAGATTTAGAAGAGGATTTGCATTTTGTCGTGAATAATCGTTTGATTCCTATCGAATTTATCTCCATTTGAATATTTATTTCACATCGAATACTTCTATCTATTCTTATCAGTTGTGTACCATCTTTTACAATATCTATTTATATTCACATTTAAACGATACGATTCATTTAATTTGCATCGAATTGAAACTGAATTATTCAAACGTATTTCAATGATTTCATTTCATTTTTCTTTAATCAACATTTTACAATTTATTGAAATAACAATTGTTCATTCAGATGCAGATTATTTTAAATGTTACACGTAAGAAAAATATTTCGAAAAACTTTCTTTTAAATTTAATATTCAAAATTTGTTTAAAGATAGATCATGATTTGATAATAGACGTTAGGTGTAATTCTCTTAAATTCTTTTGTAAACAAACATAGAAAGCTATGGAAATTCGATTCGTGTTACAACGTGAATCAACAATTCGACTAGTGTCGAATCTTGTTCCCTTCGATAGTTATTCATTTTAACAAACTGAATAATAATCGTAATGCAATCTCATACATTTGGTATAGAACATATGGTTAATGAATATTCTCCAGGATATTATGATAAAGTCAGAGAGAGAGAGAGAGTGAGAGAAACAGACAGACAGAGAGAGAGAGAAGGAAACTAGTAAACCAAACTTGTGCCCATTAGTTCGCTCAAATATCCGAGCATTGTCTATTAGGTTTACACAATGATGTTCCAGCATAATTTAGCTTGGTCATCCTGTAAATCATTAGGCTTTGCCTTTGTATTTGATCATTTATCTAAGTCCATCGTAATTAACTCCCTTTCAATCTTCGACCATTAACTGTTCTCTTAGTGTTTGACTACAATTTATAGAACAATATAACAATAATTACACGTATATACACTTTAATCAATAGTTCTCAATTCAAACATTTTCACATTATTTCATTTTTCTATGATATATTAAAAATTATACAAATTATTATTATTTACTTTACTCTTAATATTTAATATATATTACATTGATTATAATTTTGAAAAGGATAGAACATTCGTAAAAAAAAAAAAGAAAAAAAGAAATGTGAATAAAAAGAAAGATTTTAAATTTCTGAAAAGCGGATCAGATTCTTTTCTTTTCTTTTTCTTTTTTTTAAATATCTGTTGTCAAAGTTTATAGGAATAATAACGATAATAGTGATAATAATTATTATAAAAACTTATGGAACATTTTAATACGTTCCATTCGTCCAGTAAATCGAATGAACCGCCCCCAGGTAGATATTAGAAAATGGATCTCGCAACTACCCATCTCCGTTTTATTACTGCAATTCAACGTTCGGACACCAGAGCAATTCCACGTTTCTCGTACAACGAGAGCACTCCTAGGAAAGCTATCTCTCTCTTTCTCTCTTTCTCTCTTTTTTTTTCTATCTCTCACTTCCACATCGTTTTTCCTATTTTCCTCGAGGCGTAAAGTATAGAAAAGGAGAAATATCTGAAGAAGGATTTTCGATTTTCGATTTTTCTCTTCTTTACGATATCGAAACGATCCAACGAAATCATCTTATTTTCACGTATTTTAATCCAAATTTCGTTTCAATAAAATTTTCTCTCTCTCTCTCTCTCTCTTACGAACAATTTCAATATAATATAATATAAAAACGTATTTAAAAAAAATAATAATTGATAAATCTAATATATAACAAAAATTTATCTCAATTTAATAAACAAGAAAAAGAGAAAATTATGAAAACCTTTTTGTCGAGACAAAGATATAAAATTTGAAGAATATTCATTCTTTCCTATTCCTTTTTCTTTTATTTTCGTTTTGTGTTGATTCAACCGTAGCTTAAAAACCGATCTATTATCGTAATGCAACGTGCTCATCGTCCGTAAATTTTACGAGTTTTGCATCTTGTAAAATCTCTTGGCACAGTGATGTCAACGTATAACTTTTCGTATTCCGCGTGTTTCCTAGATGATAAAAGCCGATTCATCTTTTTATTGTCTCTCCGTCTTATAGAACTTTCTACTTTGATTGCTATCCTTTCTATTTTTTTTTTTTTCCAATTTCGTATCATTCGATATGTATTTTATACATATTTATATATATATATCACGAATCAATATTTTAATTTGAAACAGAAAAATTATATTTGAAAATATTTTTATCTTCTCTATAGAATATTTGTAACCATAAGTATATATAAACTAATTTATAATTCGTATTATTTTAATATGATTAAAATTTTAGAACATATTTAAATGTGTATAAAATGATGATGTAGACCAATCGTAAAATTAGTTAAATTTGTTAAATTTGTCTAACCTAATCGTTCTTTTCCAACAGGTTTATGGCCATAGTGAATCCATTGAGACCAAGAATGGGTCGTAGAGCAACTCTCTGTGTTGCTGTAGTCATTTGGATCGTCGGTGCAATTCTTTCCTTTCCAATGCTACTCTTTAACACCACCTACACACAAAATTTCGCTAATGGTGAAGTACGAGTAATATGTTACAGCGATTGGCCTAACAGAGATGACGATGGTCTTAGCTTTCAGGAATATCTGTAAGTATAGTCAATCAGAAATCATTTCTAACACATTTACGTTTACCTTACAATCGGAAAATCGATAAACGAAATATACGAATACGTCACGTAATTTACTTTTGTCTAATGTTAAAACAAGACAGATTATTAAACAAAATGAATAATTCAAATCATAAAGTCTTTAATAATTCTTTCAACGAAATGTTTATTCAAATCTACGATTCCTTTTACTTTTTCATTTTCTTTAAGCATCATCGAATCATAATCGCGTGAAATTTGAGAAACTAAAAATGAGAATAAGAGAGAGAGAGAGAGGAAGAGAGAGAGAAACTGAACTAAACACGACAAGTTTTGTGTGAAAGTTCATCGTATTATAACAACGCAGGAACCTCGTATAGAACAGTTTGAGTTAAATGGCAAAAGGCTTTAATGTCAACTCCACATACTGACTGACCCTTTAACGATTTCCATCAACGAACCACGTTAAAGGCACGCGTATTTTCCCTGCCCTTTGTCTTTGTTCAGAAAGCTTATGATTATTTAAAGAATTAAACAAAAAAAAAAAACAAACCAATTTTTCGGAATATTAATTATCCGTGTACAACAAACTTAACAACAAATTCATACGAAAAAGAAACCCCTTTCGCATATATTTTCCTAGGGGAAAAAATGAACACATTCGAGTCAACAGTTTGTAACAATTTTATAATTTTAAAAGTACAATATTAAAAAAGCTTATGCTTCAGGTGAGAATCATTCTTTTCAATTTTCATGATAACAAATAAGATGAAAAAAAGAATGTAATCAGAACATTGATTAGGAAAAAAAACGAGAAGACGAGAATACAAAGGTGTAAAAATCTAATGGGAACGTTTTCATGCGTTTCGTGTTATAATCACGATAAAAAAAAAAAAGGGATGTGAAAATGAAAGAAAAAAGAAGGTAAGAATAAAAAAATGTTCTATATGAGTGTAAAACAGGCGTTTGATTTTAGTGGGAAAATTCGGACGTTTAAATAGGAAAAATTGTTGGTAAAGGGAACTTGAAAGTACCTATTCCCTTTCTCTTCTCGATGAACATAAAAGAAAAGCTGTTCGCATGCTCGTCAGGTTCACAAAGATATTACCAGCGTGACTAGTTTATGACTCTTAAATGACTCAACCTGCCGGTCAGCAGCTTTATCATAAAATTCCTATCACCTATATACACACCATCGCATACAAGCGTTGATGGAACACCATAATGTCTATAAATCTTTCTTTTCTTTGTCTATTTTTCTTTCTCTCTCTCTCTTTTTTTTTTTTTTTTCTTCACATTGTTTTAATCTGCTTTTATTATCATTAATATTATTAATTATTATAATCGAATTTTTTCATTTTCTTTTAATTACTTTCCTATGAATATTTTTGTATAATCTTTTGTTTTAATTACGTTTTAGATGAATTTGATTTTATTTTCTTTCTTCAATTTTAATAATTTTCTTTTTTAACGATGAAAAGTTATTTACTTATGCATTCAGTCCCCCTTCTAACTTTCTCGACGTACCTTTTTTCCATGGTTAGTTTGTAACACATTTAGGTTACACGTAATTAACTTATCGCGATTTCATTAACGCCAAAGATTATCGGCTAACTTGAAGACAACACACGTGGGATGTTTTAATCGAGCGAATAATTTCAACGTTCCATCATCGGTCGACCATATTCTCCTCACTTTAAACGCACGAGTATTACTTTATAACAAATTTTTTTACCGAAACTAAATGGAAACGCAAAAATATGTGACAGGAGGTGTTAAATTTTCGTAAAAAATTTAAATGTAAGATATACATATACGTGTAAGATGTATAAATATTGATTGAAATTTTAATTAAACATCAAACGTATCAAAATATCATAGTGTATTAATTATTTCGAATAAGAACATAGTAAAGACTACTTGCTGAAACATTTCATTGAAAATTCAAAGAAATATTTCCTTTGAGATCGTTCCAAATAGATGCTCATCGTTAAATATGTTTAATATGATATAATTAATATATCAAATTTAATTATTTGACCTTACTCTAGTTCCAAAAAAATTATCTCTCACATTTTATTAGAATTAAATTAAATTATATAAATTATTATAATTTTATAAATATCCGGGTAAAAAAACGTCGGTTTCCTTGCCCCTACGGATAGGCAACACCTCTTTACTCGCGTGTAAAAATGTGTTGCATATCTGCAGGGGTTGGAAAATTTAATATATTGCTTGTTATAAAGCCATAGAATATAATTGAATAAAATAATGTTGAACGTTTCAAACGGCATATTGTATTAAAAATACTTTTAATTATTGTTAATGATAACAAGCAATAAATAATGAATTTCATAAGGTCTATTTAACAGAATCATGATGACAGCCTTTACAAAGGAAAACGTGATTCTACCTCTAATCCGACAAAACGATGGATTTCCTGAGTTAGAGAAACTAGTTATAAACTCCGTTACGTCTAAGAAATCCCACTTGTGATCACATTCGTATAGTCCAACAATCTAAATTGAAATCCAATTTCTTTGTAAATTCTAACATCTAGTTTCGATTATTTTAATCTTCAAATACAAAAATCATAGCTGAATATTAAGAAATAAATGTTTAATATATTAACAATTTAATTTATTAAAAAATTTTATACAAAAAGATGAAAGAAAATTATTTGATAAATTTCATTATATATTAATATTGCGCGCGTGTGTGTACAAGTATCAAACGAAATCGTTTTATTTCACCTTTATTTAATTTATATTTTAATAATATTTCCTATTCAATTTAATATAATTTCTCAGTCTTATTCAAAATGTATCATCGAATTATCTCCAGCGAGATTACTTTGGAATCTCTGATATGCAAGATCGGATACACGCACAAATAACCACCATTCAATCGTTCAACCAAATAGCGATTTATCACAATATACCGGAACTTCGAGTATAGTCTTAATCAAACAATCAGATAAATAATTCAAATATAATAATAATAATAACATTGCTATGAATGTAAATAATAACAATTGCTAATGAATAAAATCAACTTAACTAACGAACTGATATTTTATATAATCGATGTTTTTATTTAAACGATATATTTGTTATATCTGTAAATTTTATTTTCTATCCGTACTAAATTTTATATCCAAATGAAGTAAAGATATTAAACGATTAAATAAATGCAATAGTATGATCTGCTTTTAACGAAAGAGTCCATTTATTTATATTTAGCGATTATCCGAACGGACTTTAACAATCTTACAGTTTTACGATCTCAGCTTCGTAGGATTACAGGAAACGATTTATCTACATTTAAAAGGATAACTAAGATCTCTTTAAACATTTAACTTTTATGGACGAAGGAGAAAAAATAAATAAAAAAAAAGAAATAAAATTAAAATAAAATAATATATTTAATTGAAATTCTCAATCGTGTAAAATGATATATGAAAAATGATAAAAGCCGAGTTTAATGTTATTCCAATTGAAATTCTCATAAGTTTATTTGACTTCTCTATCCCGCGTCTTAATTAAAATGATTAACGAGTCATGGCAAACGATTAATCATGTTCGTCAGATCGTCAACCAAGAGTAGTAATATTATATCTCACTTTCGACACCGTTAAAAGCAACCTGCTCTCATGCACACTGTCTTTCTCTCTCTCTCTCCTAATTCATTCAATCATCTCTCAATTCGCGTATTTTTCATCATAATTTGCTTTCCAATCGTACGCTCATTTTTGTAGTTCTATATAACGAGCTAATTGATTTTGTCTTAGAACAAACAAATTTTCCAATCAATTTACGTCCACCCAATACGATACAAAAAAATAATGTATTATATTATTATTATATAATCGATATATTCCACACGCACCAATATACCGCTAATAAATAAAACATAATAATTGTTAATCGATTCTCTCATTCATATATTTATTATATTAATCATATTATTTTCGCAGATACAACGTAATCTTTATGATCTTAACATATTTTCTACCGATCGGCTCGATGACCTTCACTTATGCAAGAGTCGGTGCAGAATTGTGGGGCTCGCAAAGCATCGGCGAAGCTACCGCAAGACAATTGGAAAATATTCGAAGTAAACGAAGGGTACGTAAAAAGAGAAAAGAAAAAAAAAAAACATAGAAATGAATTATTAATTAATTTAATTCCAAAATAAATAAATGTAATGTAAAATATTAGCATATGAAAAGATATATGTGGGACATAGGTAAATACATAATAAATATATGATTATTAATACAATCGAAAAAGTGATATTAACGTAGTAATTCGTATATAGGAAAAGATAAATATTGAAAATATCGATAGAATTTAGGACACATTGTTTGTAGATAGAAGAGAACTGTTATCGATTTTCAAGAAAATCGAACGAGGTTTTTAGGATAGGAGGAAAGGGGGGGGGGGATGGATGTAGGTTTTAGTAGGTATTGAAAATACATGAGAATATCTCGTGGGAAGCATGGCATCTACCTTTTATCGGACATTCTAACTATGGTAGTCGATCGACGACGTGTCCAAGTGAATATCACTTTAATTAGAATGAAACGAGCCACAAATCGACAGGGTAAAAAAGAGACGAGAGAGATGGAGAGAAAAAGGGAAAGGGAAATGAAACGGAAATGAAAAGAGAGAGAGAGAGAGAGAGAGAGAGAGAGAGAGAGAGAAACAATGAAAGAAATAAAGAAGGAAAGTTGAGTAATCGTTGACCGCCCTTCGACATTTTGTAGCCCTCCAAAGTATATCGTACCCTCTCTAACAATAAGAGAAACTGTATAAAAGTGCTCGATTAATTAACCTTATGCAACTTCCACCTACCAACCCACACACACACACACACACACAGTGTAGCAAACCCCGAACGCGAGGCAACTACGTTGTTGTAAAAGGCACCACGTAAAAAATGCCCAAGAGCATCATCAATAGTTAACAAGCTACATATTCGTTCGTCCGCAAAAACTTTATTGCCATTCTGATCAAATTATTTCCTCCTTCTTTTATCTTTTTATTTCTCGTTTTTTCTTTTTTTTTTATTGGTCATCTTGACTATCTCATTCTATTTCATTCGGTTGTTTTTTTTTTTTATTATTGCTTGTAAAATCGTTCGATTGCTGCTGTGATTAAAAAAATATTCGTATTTTGATATAATAAAAAAATAAAAGATTTGTTTTATAATATTCAATTGGTTTGTTGACAATTGAATATTTCTAACGCGAAAAAATTATATGATATTTTTGAGCAAGAGATTGAAAATTTATAAAAAGGTTGTTCTTTTTTTTTTGGTTTTTTAATATTCAACTTGTTTGTAGAAAAATTTCTCTTACGCGAAAGAATTTGTAATATTTTCCAGCATTATTTTCTTCTTCTTCTTCTTCTTCTTTTTTAATATTAATTTATTCTTCTATTTATTTCAAAGATCGTATCAATTCATTCACAATAAAATAAAATTACTCGGTAAAGATCAAGTCTCCGTGCATTTGTGAAAAAAGGGAGAAAAACCACCGCCAAGCAATCAATGTCATGATTAAAAGGACTTTATAAGTCAATGGGTAACCGATCGAGTTCAGTTCAATGAATGAATTCGTTTTCTAAAGGCAAAGAGAAAAAGAGAAAAGAGAGAAAGAATGAAATAAATTCGAGGAGGGTTATTCTATAAAATATTCTCTACTTTCGATACTTTGTTTCATTCTATCGATCGAAAGCTAATTTAGGATAACTATTAGTATCGAACTTGTTCAATTACAATCGTTTTATTATCGACAAGAAACTTGTGTTAATTATGTTGATTTATAAGTGTATTTAAATGTTTGCCCCTTAAGATAGGCATCGCTTCATACATATCTAAAAATATTGATCGCCAACGCCATCTATCAGGAAACAACTGTTTTCTACCCTTTTGAGTATGCAACCCATTCTTACGGGTGTGTAAGAAGAGGTTGCCTATATGTAGGAGTCTAAAAAAAAATATATGATTATATTTATACATATTATATTAATTATAAAAACACATAACAAAAACTAAAAAAAAAAACTTTTTTTAAATGTGCAACAATCTTTCTCTCAATAATTTTTCTTAGTTAAAATTCCAGCGTTGAACACACGCGTAATTTCGCATCGTTTGTTTTGTCCAATTAATTTTCCATACCAAGAATGCATGCCAACCATGCATGCTTGTAATTTATTGCAATGCCAATTATATCGTTTGCACAATGGACAACATACCAAACAGCTATAACTATGTTATCGACAAAGTTATAACAAATTCCAAAGACAAAATGCAAATATCGACTCTAACGATCGTATTAATCATTATTATGTAGCATGATCGTCAAATTGTAATCTATGAAGAAGCATGATTTTGAAAATTCTATTGTTTCATATATTTTGATCGAATTATTGTACATATTATATTAAAAATAACTGAAAATAAAAAATCATAAAAGTTCAACACAATAGCATAATAAATCAGAATGATCATAATATATTATACAATATGATAATAAAAAAAATAAAAAATAAATGATAAGAATTTTCCTTAAAAACATTTTAGATAAAAGGCTAAATAATAATGCATTAGACCAGCACACACAAATAGGTAAAAGGTTTGTTGAAAGTGTAGCAGTTAGGTTTACAACGTATTGTTATCGGCGATTTGCATAATAGGAGGAAGTATAAGAGCTATCGCGGTACAATCACCATAGGCATTAAATATAGTAAGTGCAAGCAACCTTTACAGGATTTCCTGGCGCTTGCAATATCTACCTCGACGTTCACCTAAGTTTATCGTTGATGCTCGAAAGCAAACGCGTAAAGGTAATCTAATTATAATTGAGTACCTAAATTTAGTATGTATACGTTTTTCAAAGCATCTCGATTTATTTCCATTTAATATTAACAATTTACAAAGGGGTATTATGCAAATTTTTAAACAAAATTATATGAAAAACTATTAATTATAAATTATAAAAGCTTTTTACAGATTAATAAAACAATTTTATTATAGTTGAGCAATTAAATTTATTAAAATCTAAAAAGTATATCTCGATTTATTTGAATTTAATTTCGATTATTTCAACAGATAGTAACAACATTCTTTTTTTATTAATTTCAAAAACACTTGTTCCTTTTCAATTAATTGTTACTGTAAAATTTGGTTCTGTTTTTCATGAAATTATGATAAACATGCATTACGTTTTTAAGATGAACATCTGGCGAGACAAGGGTGTGTATAACGAAACACGTTGGTCGCAGGTGCTTACACAAAGAATACTTCTTTCATGTCACAACCATATGCTGACCTTATTCGGTACTAGGAAAAATAATACACGAAATTTTTGCGACAACTTTATAATCTATAGAAGAATGGAACATAATCGAATGTATGATATATATATATATATATATCATCTCATATATAGGATTGAAAGCGTAAAATAATAAGCAACACATTTTACGTAGTAGATAGATACGTGTAAAGAAATTTTTTTTCGCGTTTATTTATACGCATTAAACTGGAGGATATCACTGCGATGATTAAAACGGTACATCTTGAACGGGATCGACAAGTTGCAATAAATCATCATCGCGAGACTGAAATACCGAATTTTGTTTCTTTTTTCCTTTTCTTTTTCCACCCACGATAAAAGATATTACGCTTATTTTTAAACGATCCAAGAACTTTGATTTATGTTATACGTGTATACGAGATATGTATATATATATATATATATATATTGCTATCTAGTTTATATTTTATTTTTTTTTTATTTTTTCCGTAGAAAAAAGAAACAGGAAAATAAAAAAAAAATTAGGAATTTTACTATTCTATAATATTGAAAATAGGGAAATAAAATTCATTAATTTTTTAGAAATCATCTTTTTCTTACTCGAGGTTATATTACTCGCAGATAATTAATAACAGAATAAGATAATAATAATAATAATACTGATGATGTGATGAAAATAATAAAAATTTAGACAAAACATATGATAAAGGAAACAATAAACTTACTTTTTTCCGCATGGTTTATAAAAGAAAAGAAAGGGAGATAAAAAAGTGAGTGTTTCGTGAGCTCATCGTCGGATTTAATTTCCGGAGATGCTATGAATTTCTAAGAAGAAAGACACGTCCTCTTCTTTTCTCATCATCTTTTTTCCCTTCGTTTTTTTCTTCTTCTTCTTCTTCTTCTTCTTTTTCTTTTGCTTAGCAAAAAAAGGAACTTTGAGAAAACGTTCGCGTAGTTTCCTGCCATAAAGGGTGGACAATATAAAAAGAAAAATAAAAAGAAAGAAATAGAAATGTTATTTTGTGGTAGATCTCTATTATATCGAAAGAAAAGAAATTAGATAGAGATCAATTTGTCTTCTTTCCTTCCCCTCTACACCCGCAAAAAAAAAAAAGATTCATTATATGTGAGGAAAAAAAATTATATAATATTTGTATTTTTCTTGGGAAAAAAAAAATTAAACCAAAATATATACGATTTCATTTATATTTGGATATAGAACATTAATACATTTTTTTTATTCAATATAAATAAAAATCAATCAACATTTTTGATATATTAATTGATATTTTATTATAATATTACACATTTACTTTGCTCTTATAGATAAGCAATCTTTTATTATACGCGTGTATATAGTATGAATGTGTATACCCTTAAAGAATAAAAAAAAAAGAAAAAAAAGTTGCTTGCTGATAAATGGTGTTGGCGGCAATCATTATTTTAAACGGTGTATAGAGTGATGCCTATCTCCATGGGTAACAAATTTAAATACAAACATACATTTGATCAAATATTTACTGTGTGAATAAATAAAAAGAACAACATTTTTCATCGAGTCAGAGGTGACAAAAAACTAGCTATGAGAAAGGGGATAAAAATAAAAAAAAAAGAAGAATAAGAAAAAGATAGATATATAAAAAATGTGAGAAAGGATAAGACGAAATTGAGTAGAACTATATCTAGAGAGGTTTCGTTCCGTTGTTCAGGTACTACCACCTCTATTGGATTTCGATTAAGCGACAAAGGATCTTACTGTATATGTGAAACCAGTTCTCTACTCCGGAACACAACCAACATTCACCAGAATGAACCACAGTTAGACGAAGAGAATGTAACATATATACGTTCACACAGTTTCACAAGTTCGATTCCTAAAGGAACGACAGATTGAACGAGAACTCTATGGTAAGGGTTAAATGGCAGAGCATTAGAACGTGTTTGCTTTGTCGTAGTCGTTAGATAGTATATGAAGATATAATCCCGTTTCCGTGAAATCAGTCTAATTTCTAAACACTTCAAATGATCAAATTAGAAATGGTAATAATAATGTTTTTTCCCATTCAACCTAATGAAAAAAATAAATTGAACGAGATATTTTCGTAAGAATTCGATAGAAAACTTATCGATAAATCGTTTTGAAAAAAAAACATTTCGAGATTTTTCAAGAGAGGAAATTTGATTTATTTCTCATCTCTCTCTCTCTCTCTCTCTCTCTCTCTCTCTCTCTCTCTCTCTCTTTCGCTCTCTTATCCTCGCCAAACCATTTGTCAGAATCAGCTAGGAAGAACCTGAACGAATCGAAAAAAGAGGGGATCGCATGGCAAGTTATCTTCAACGATTTTAAACGAGAAATTACCAACAACTTCTCAAGAAAAATCTAGTACATATTACATTTAGTCCCCACAATCGAACTTCGTTGCAATCTACTACTTGACTTTTGAATTGGATCACCGCCAAGATGTTAAATTTGTCTTGTCCGAAAGATAAAAAGTCTACCCCTACGTGCTCTTTCAATTTTTCGAATAAAGAAATATATATGAGGATTTTATTGTTGAAGTAATAAACAAGGAGATTGTCTACTGTTCTCTTTGTAAATTACGAAATGTCGCGATTATGATATTAATAAAAAGAAATAAAACATTTATTATGAATAATTCAATATTGTTGATAATATTACTGTCTATAACTGCTGTACGTCGATAAAACAGTTTTTCGGAGCCCCTGTGCGTAGGCTTTTTTGTATTACACACGCGTACGAATCGATTGCCTATTATCAAGGGGTAATAATTATAAATATATTTTTTGTTTTATTGTAAATTATTAAAGATTGTCAAAAATCGAACGCATAAATGTCGAAAAATATAATATATGAAAAAAATGAGAAGAACGAAGGTCGAATAATGTTCTGCTGCCATATTATTACGTGAAAAAAAAAAACAGGAAATATCTGTGCATATTGGGGAACGACGAGAGTGCTTTAAGCTTCTCAGTGGAGTACCGACGATAATGGGAGTTTTACTACTGCGATATACTTCGTGTATACAGAAGTCGTCTTCGTATAAAAATGCGTCTATATCTGGACGAATATTCGATGAAAAAATGACAAGATATAAAAGCTGATTCATTAAAATTTCATTCTCTTCCACTCTCTCTCTCTCTCTCTCTCTCTCTCTAACAATATAAAATGCATATATAATATATTTAAATTCAGAAATAGTACCAGTGTATTCTATGCATTTTTATGTAAAAAAAAAAAAAGATATTGCTATTTTTGTATAGATAGTACAATTTTTCCTTGTAACGTTTTAAAATGAACTTTTAGTAGACAAAAATCTAACTCCGTTTCTCTATCATACAAAATAATTCTCGACAAATGAAAAAAAAAAAGAAAAAAATATCAATTATCTGACATATAGAAAATAAATAATAAAATGAATAACAAAATCGTATAATTGAAGTAGTAATATAATTTTAAATACATAATAAATTCTCTGAACATGTAATTTGGATAAAACGCGTACTGGACTAAGGAGAAATCCTATCTAATTCAAGTTGAGAACATAAACCACTGGTTAAACGGAGAGCAAACGTAGATTTCGAGATAAATGAGATAAACGAGTTACTTTCAAGATCTATACGTATACAAATAAGAGAAGAGAGGTTAAGAGGAATGGAAGCAGAAGAGGTTTGGATGCAGTAAACGATGAGGAAGGGAAGAAAATGGAGGATGAAACGGTCTTCGTTCCTCTCTAACCACTGACGACAAAATAGTTTTCCCTATGGACGAAAACCGCAGGACCGCAATACCTATCGGAATACGGCCCAATTTCAACGATTCTCTCTCTCTCTCTCTGTCTCTCCCCCTTTCCCTCTATTACCCATAAAATGTAAAAGTTTAACGATAACATTGAGAGATGGAATCATTTAATTCCAACTAAATTTCAATAATTATAATAATGATAATGATTATATATATATATAAGGCTGATTTATTGGGGGTCATTGTTTTTAAATATTTTTTCAATAATATTTTAAATAAATCTGTCAATAATTATGTATTATCATTAATTATAATAAAATATCAATATGTAACATTATTCAAATGTGATTTTGTCAGCATTTAATTTACGAAATATTAAACCAAATGAATAGAAGCATTATGATAATTAAGTGGTAATATTAACGATTGAAATAATATCGATTTTTAGTATTCATCCAAGAGTATAAAATTAAAGACAATTACTGAAAAACGAAATGGTTAAAAGTTCCTTCTATATCTAATTATAAATTACAAAGGCAATCGTTTCTACTTTATAAACGTTCCATAAAAGACAAAGCACGTACTGCATAGCCATTCTCGTTTAAACTTAACTTCGTTAATATTCTTGCCTTACCAGCCAAGAAATTAGAATTACTTCGAATGTACAAGGTTAAGAGAACGTTTATTGTTTTACGGAAAACCTACAGAAAATTGACGAAATATCAAAGGAATAATCGCGTTCGATTCGAAATATAATAAATAGCAAAAGAAAAAAAAATATTGGAAAAATAATTGTTCCACTTTAGGACAATACTAATCGAATTTTGTTTTTTTATTTTTTACCAGGTCGTGAAGATGATGATCGTAGTTGTAGTAATATTCGCAGTCTGCTGGTTACCACTCCACGTTTATTTCATTGTAACATCGTACTTGCCAGAAATTACTAAAGAATCCTACATCCAAGAATTATTTCTTGGTATTTATTGGCTAGCAATGTCTAATAGCATGTATAATCCTATCATTTATTGTTGGATGAATTCCAGGTAAGAATAAAATATTTCAATTTCAATATTTCAATATAAACTTTAAGAAATGTGATATTAAAATATGTTAATACCTTTATTCGTTTATAGATTCCGTCGTGGTTTCATACAATTTTTTTCATGGTGTCCATGGGTGCGGGTCACCCCAGAACCATCTCTGTCCCGTTCAGAAGCAGTTACATCGCGATACAGTTGCACCGGAAGTCCCGAAGCTAATTCAAGGATACCACGGAACGGTACGTCCTCCTGCACATCCTTGGATCATCCTTACACGTCAACTTCAACGACACCAAGAAGCGAATCCTATACAGAAACACACGACGGAATAAACTTATCGTTTTCTAAAAGTTCACAAGAATCTCGTAAATCTTCCATTGATTTGCACGATCTTTCATTTATTTAACAATCAAAAATGCAATTCGTTAACAAATCAAGAGATTCAATTGTTATTATAATTTAGTGTGTTTTATAGGAACTTTTGTTTCTATCATATATTTCATGTTTTCTTTTAACGATCAAATACTCTATTATTATTTATTCGCTTTAGGAAAATTATATATTGCGTAATTCATTTTTCTTCGTAAGAATTTATATTCGCTACAACGATATTTTTTATCTTTTATAATATTCTTTCTAATTTTTTCTCTTAAGTTACAATTTATATCGAATAGATTATGTTTAACAAACCAAGCGAGAGAGAACGATCATTTAAGTTTCATATTTCTCTTTATATATATATATTTACATATATATTTACTTATTTTTCATTAGATAAAAGAAAGAAAATGCGTTTGAGATCAAAAAACTGAAGAAAATAGACGATAGATACGGAAAAGATTCAAATTTTAAATTTTCCTCTTATTTCCCAAGAGAACAATAGTCGTGAAATAGAAAATACGTAAGGGAAATACTTTATTTTTTCGAATTTTCCCCCATGAAATATAATACCATATATACGTATAGCTATTATTTATTGGGCCAGTATTTTTCAACATTTTTTTTATCAATATTCTAAATAAATGATCAATATGAACTCTATATCAATATTTACAAATATTAATATATATTGACTATCTATAATATTAAATAATAATTCAATTTTAATCGTTATATAGAACACAAATTAAATTATTAACCATTTCGCTATACAGCATACTTTCACTCCAAATAAATTCACTCGTACGTACTTATAATCGCGTGTTAGTTATACGACCCCTATACAAATCATATGGGGCTTTTACGCTAGTAAGGAAAAAATTAAATATTTAATTGAAAATGTTTAAAAATATACACGGACCAAATAAATATACAATGCATACGCATATAAATTTTTATTTGTATTATATTTTTAACGAAAAAAAAAAAAGAAATAGAATTTAAATTAGAATTTTGTTATATTAAACATATCATAAGAAAGTACGAAATAGACAAAAGAAAAACTTGAGTATATCCTTTAACAGGCACGGTTAGAATACCGCTGCATCTACAATCAACGAGAGGAGAAGGAAATGAACGATTTTTGGAACATCAAATTCGTGGAAGAAGATGGAGAAATACTCAAGAAAGAGGACACGTTTCCTGACAAGACGAGGAGATGATTACTAATACTTCGAATCCTTTGCAACAACAGCAGCAGCAACAACAGCAACAAAAACAACAACAACGAGTGCACACTTGGATATGAAGGGATTTATATTCAAAAGATAATATATTATGGCACTTTATAATCCGGTTCTACGTTATGGCTGAAAACCAAACGTAAATTTGTAACGAAATCTTTATCGTATCTTCTTATCATCCATTGATGGAACGCTATCTATCTTCTTCCTGCCATGATATTACTGTTTTTGCTATTTTTCGTTTGTTTTAAGACTTATATCAAACAACGAGTTATTCTACGTCATGATAAATGACAATAAATTTGTTTCCAATTGCATTCCTTTATTTAATTAATTAATGTTGCCATCGCGTCTCGCGTCAATCCAATGCTTGTCGATCATGCTTGAGAAAAAAAGAATTTACAAAACAAAAAAAATAAGATAAATGGACCAATACATTTACAATACTTTCCGTAAAAAATGTGACAGAAATAAAAAATAATCTTTTTTCTATAAGATGAAAATTAAAAAATAAAAAAGAAAAAATCCATACACACACACACACATACGTACGTATGCACATACAATCGACGTTAGTTGAGGATATGTGAAAATATTTGTTGTAGCTTTATCTATTTAATCTGTTAGAAAGATAAAAGAAAATGTTTCATTATGTACCTAATCTACTCGTTCCTACTGTACATGCATACATTACATACATACATAAATACATTCATACATATATTCTAATAGCCAAACTGATGTTGACAAATGTATACTTGTAATCAAGCCAGACGTAATTCTCTTAACAAGAACATCCATTAATACAATAAATCACTATTTATTTTTTGCTATCGATAAGATAGATTATTTTCGGGTGATTTTTTGTAATAAACAAATTATTGATCATTAAGTTCAATGACGAAATTCTTTTTCTTTTTTTTATATAAATCCTTGATTGTTTTCCTGATATTAAATAATATATAAGGCTCATATATTCTTCTTACTTTTCTATATTTCATGCATAAATAAAAAAAGAAAATAAATAAAAATAAAATACTGATTTGACATAGAAAATATCGATAGGAAAAGAAAACATTGAACGAAATTTAAGCTTTGTATTTGTTTAAAAAAATAGATTATTATTTATAATTATATCTTATTGTTAGCCAAAAAGAATTTAAAGTTATCGATACTAGTCATGCACGAGAAATCAAACAAATGTATTTAAGACTCTTATAATTATACTTATAATAACGTCAAATTAAAATAATCAAAATAAAACACACGGACACAACAATTATTAAAGAAATATACTCGAAAGGAACTTTATTTAGAAGCAAGAGGAAACAAAAAAAAAAATAAAAAAGATTCAGCTATTATAATGGAGTAAAAAAAAAATACTCTGGGAAAACCAAACGCTTTCTAAACATACGAATTGTAAATAGTTGATATTATTAATTATTAATTATTGTAATTAATTATGTAAGAAACAAAAATCGAAACTGAGAATAATTAAATGAACGAATTATAAAATTACCAAATGAAATAGCATAGATATCTCAAATATCGCGAAAAAACAAATGTACGACGACATTGTTTTAATATATTTTTATTAGTTTCTTTTTTCGACGAGTATCGATACAAATAAATTAATCAAAAGGATAAACCACAGAAAGAAAGGACCTACAAGAAATTATTTTTAAAATTAAAATACTTTACGTGATGAACCATGAATCCTCTTCCTCGATAAAGAAAGAAAATGGGGCATGATAAGAAGAATTTTCAAAATCTGATCTTTCTAACTCTTATTAATTTTTACAATTTTCCATTGTATAATTAAAGAATAAAAAATATAAAGAAGGAAGAGATGAAAAGAAATATAAGAGTACATCATTAATTAATTTCATATAATAAATATAGTAACTGCACGCGATACCTTTAAACAAATACTATTTATATGTAAGATTATATACATTGTGCACATTGTATGCATTTCTGGTGTTGTAACGAAATAGGAGATCTCCTGAGAAGATGATTACAACAACAACAAGAATAACAAAATAAGATATATGAAATTTGACGTGACATTAAAATAAATTATTAGATTTAATAATCACTTCTCTCTTTCTCTCTTTCTCTCTCTCCTAGGATCTGTGATTCTAGAAGACACATTTATTAAAAAATAAAAAATAACAAACGATGTCAAAAATTACATTGATACCATAAATGTGTCCAATGATAAAACAATGCAGAATATAAATGTATACGCATTGTTATATTATACATACATATGTATGTATATACATATAAATAAAATGTTGTGTATTCTGCTATTAATTGTATCCTGGAAGATGCATTAATAAAAGTTCCATATTTTTTAAATCGCTATTATATGAATTATAAATCTTCTACTTACATACATATTCCCATATTGATTTTCTCTAAACTTTCATTAGAATTTTACGAATCGAATCGTATCTCTATGAGTCCTTTATGCTTGTTAACTTCGTTCCAGTAACAGCAAGAAAACGTTTTTTTATTCATTTTATCCGTGTATATTATTCCCTAAAAAATAATTTATTTTTATTTCTTTAAAAATGTATTTATAGGTCCTATAAATACATATTAATGCTAAATGTGTATGTGTGTGTGTGTATATGTAATAAAAAAATGATTAAGTCCTTACATCTAAATGGTCCATTTCATGTTGAACAATTCTCGCTGCCCAACCTTTGAACCTTACAGTAAATTCTTCTTTCAACTCATTAAGAGCCGTAATTTCAACTTCTCTTGCTCTGGGTACTTCTGCAGTGTAACCTCGAACACTAGCACATAGTTCGGGAAAGGAAACTAAATTATGATCAATAATACGAATTGTAGGATTAATAAATACTTGTAATGGTACAACTTCCATTTCACGAATTTTCCTTATATCATCCCCAATTTCTTTTAAATATTTTTCTGTAACATGTATCATAAAAATTTTCCATGGTAAACCAATTTGACAGGCGGATAATCCAACAGTATTATAAATTTCCATAACTTTTTTCATTTGTTCTATTGCCTGTTAAGAAATATTATTTATATTAATAATTCGCGTTTTATAAAAAGTATTAAATATATAAATAAAAGTTTGAATGTGTGAATATTGAAAAAATGAACTAGGTTAACAATATTTTATTCATTTTTCTCTCTATTTATATTATTATTTTATTAATTAAATAATAAAAATAAAAAGGAAGAAAGAGAAACTTACCATTTTAAATTGAAACATGTTGATAACTTCAGGATTTATCGGCAAAGTTGGCGCGCGTAAAATTGGGTCGCCAATTTGAGTAACATGAAAATAAGGAGGTTTACTTTCCGACTGATAAACAAACCGTCTGAATACACGTCTTATTTTTCTCATATTAACAAACGATCGTATATTATTTTTCCACAATGGAAAAATCAAATCACTTCTTTTAATAGGAACAATTATTCTTAACATTGTTTCTAATATTTATTAATAATAAATTTATCTAACTATAATTAAAATTACGTACTGTGCACTGCACGATGAGAATAATTTTAAGTTTGTCCCCCTGTTCTGCCACTAACGCCATCTGCTTCGAGGCGCTAAAATTTGATTGTTAAAATAATGTAAATAGGATACAAAAATAGTTCTCCAAATTTTGTGGTGTATTAAACAAGTTTCTTTTTCTTAATGCATATTTCTTTTTCTTCTTCGTTTTAAAATGTGTAAAGTATTTTGTTGGAATTTGTTTACTTCCTAAATCCAATAATAATGATTAAAGATGAATAAAAATGTTCTAAATTTATGTTGATTACAAATTAATCGGATATAAATATACAATTATTAAGTTTGTTATTATAATTATAATTATATATATAATATTTTATATATTATATATAAAAAAAAAGAAAGAAAGAAAAAAAAGAAAATTAAATAAAACTTTACAAAATTATAAATTTAATTACCCTTACTAGATACGATGCACTCTATACCAACGTTCAAAAATACACTAAAAATAATTGACGAAAAATCGTTATCGTATACGAAATGGACACTGCAAAAAAATTTATTATGTTATAAAATTTATTATATTATATTAATATAATAAATATATATATTAAAATTTCAAATTTGTTAAAATACATTTGAAATTTGATTTTGTTTCAAAAGTCTCTATCATAACTTTAGAAATCGTCATAATTGTCTGCCATTATTATTTTTTTTAATAATAATAGTAGTAAATAATAAAATATCCAAATATCAACCTTAAAAAAAATCCTTTTAAAGTTGGTCTAAATTTTGTACCTTTGCTACCTGAGTGACACCATAGGAATCGCCGCCGAGCTTAATCCTTTAGCTTTCTCTAATGAGGATATGAGAGATTGACTGGACAAAGTTTGGATTTTGGTAAATTACATCTTGTATGCCAATAGCCGATAATCTTCTGTCAAATAATGTTTAAATTTTCTGTAAATGTTTTTATTATTTTCTTTTCTGTACTAATGGGTTTATCCCGTAAATAAATAAATAAATAAATAATATACACATTATTTTATTATACAGGGTCTTTCGCTTAACTCCGACCACCTAAAATATCTCGTTTATTTCATTCGATAGAAAATAATGTCAGAGGAAAAAAATATTCTATTCGAAAGCGCCGATATAGTAATCTATCGAATGTTTTTTTTCCAAAGTTTTTTTCTTAGAGATATCATGTTCATCCTATTTTGTTTAAATCGGAAAGCATATTTCTACCAGAATAATCTTATATCTTATTAATTTATGAGCTCATTTAAATTAATTTATAACTTCATGTGACCTTCACCGAGAAAATTGTGAAATTTCGTCTCCTATATTTACGATTTTTTACTTCTATGAGTGATTTGTATTCGTTTCTTCATTTACCTTCTTCCGACCATACTGAAATAACTGTGTAAATTCCAAATAAATATTTTTTACCTGTATCGTTTTTTTGCTATCGTACAAAATAAACGAAATATTTTCGGTGACCGAGTTTGGTAAAAGACCTTGCATATGCATTATATTATAAAAACATGAATCCTGCATTTCTGTAGATAAGATTATTGTGAATACATTTATACTCGTAATCACTTTACAAACGGTCATGTAAATCTTTTGTTCGAACATTGTAATTATATATTACCGATAATGAAAGCAATTAACATAATATTCATACATTACAAATTCGAGACTTAGTAAAATTTGTTTTTTAATTAAGTTCAAATAATATCTATAAGTTAAAAGTCGAACAAAATAATGAGTGTAATTAATCTTGTTGATTTCATTAAAATTTTGTATAAATTATGGAATCATCATATTTTTCTTTCTGATTTTTTCTTTCCTTATCCATGAATCATTTTGTTTATATCAAAGAAATATTTACAAAAATATAGATAATAAATCGATATCCCTAATGAGCTTGAAAAGAACATAATATCGTAGTTTACATTGGCAAATTATATTGGCAATTACTTTAGTTTAAAAGTTTAGTTGGGAAATCATGGAGAGGTGGTATTTGAGAAAGTATAAAGCTCAGAATTTCAAAGGCAACATGCACTTAATAAAATTAAGACCGAGAGAACAGAAATAAGAATTTTTATTTGAAACGAGTTCCGCCGAGTTTCTTTCGTACTTCATTTCGTTTTCATTTTTCTTTTTGTATCAATATCGGTATATATTTCTTTTTATTGTGATCTTGTTCTATAAGTATTAATAATTCCTTTTATTTATGAACGAAACAATTTAACTAACATGTTTAAATTAAAATCGTTAAACAAATTCAACATTCGAAGACTGATTCATGAAACGAGTCTTAATAAAGGTAATTACTCATAATTAACGCTTATTTAAATTATTTCATTTTTTATCATATATATTACACTGTTCTCAGATTCGAGTAATATAAATACAAATGAACAGATTGCTGAAGCTAACAAAATATGGGAAAACAGCTTTTGGCTAAGCTCCGACAATGATATTAAAATAAAAGAGGTAAGCTCTCCCAAATTATTCATATAATTAATTTTCTTTTTAGTGATAATATAAGAAAAATATAATTATTATCATTTATTATAATAGTTTGAAGATACCGGCCTATTCACTTTAAACCGACCAAATTCTTTAAATAGTCTTACACCAGGAATATGCAAAATAATAAGTAAAAAGCTCCAAAAATGGAAAGATAGTAAAAAATTGATAATAGTAGAAGGATCCGGTGATAAAGCGTTTTGTTCAGGAGGATATCTTGTAATGCCTTATTCCTTCCGTAATCTAAGTACAGAACATTATGAATCGAAAAAATCAAAAACGTTTCAAGAATATTACTCGTAAGTTTAATAAAATACTTCAATACCATACATAATTGTAAAGTAAATTGATAAGAACCAAAATATCTTTTTGCAGATTGGGTTATAAGATCGCTACATTAAAAGTACCATTCATAGCTCTGATGAATAATAGAGTAATGGGATTAGGTTCTGCATTATCTCTTCAAGCTAAATATAGAATCGTTACGGAAAGATCAATTTATGCTATGCCAGAAGTTACAATAGGTTTTTTCCCTGATGCTACAACTTGCTACACTTTCCCTAGATTACAAAATCACATAGGATATCTTCTAGGTGTTACTGGATATCAATTAACAGGTACGTACAAATAAAAATACTCTTATACTATTATACGAAATATTAATTTCTATTTTTACGTTAAACAATCAACTTTTAATATTTAATAAATTTTCTGTTAGGTCCCGACATCTTTCATTCTGGTATTGCCACTCATTATGTTCCTTCAGAAAAATTGGAAGATTTGAAATACAAATTGCTCAAGTCCGATGGATCCAACATAGAAGAAATTATTAATAAATACCATGTTAATACATCGAGCAATAATTTTAGCCTCAATCCATTCATAGATATAATTGAAAATTGTTTCTCTGCACCTACCGTTGAAGAAATCTTAGAAAGGTAAACAATTTGTCTTTTTCTTCTCTTTTTAAGTACAAAATATCTGTTAATTTTATTAATAATATTGTTATTCTCGTTTATTTGTTAAAGATTGAAAAAAGACGATTCAGAATGGTCAAAAAGAATAATAGGAATGATTAACACTGCATCACCAACTTCCTTAAAATTAGCTTTGCTTATTATTCAAAAAGGAAAAGACTTGGATCTTGCTAATTGTGCAAGAATGGATTTTAGAATGGGATATCGTTTGCTTTCACATGGTTCTGATATGTACGAAGGTATATATTTATATTTATATTTAGCTTTATATTTATATTTATATAAAGTATTATATATTTACTAACATTTATAATATTATATTCTCATAGGTCTTAACGTTTTCTTTAAAAAAAGTAAAAAACCACAATGGAATCCGTCACGTTTGGAGGATGTACCAATGGATAGAGTAAGAAGTTATTTAGATAATCTACCACCGGAAAAAGAATTAAAATTATAATATATAAATAACTAAAGAAAAAAAGATTAAACAACTAAATATTAATTTATTGATTTAATATGTTCATTAATCAATAAATATATTAAATAATTTGAACTTTTAGAAGTTAGAATAAAATATTAATAATTTAAAATGTCTTTTTTATAGGAAATGTTTTAGAAAAAAAAAAAAAAATTCACTTATAATATAGTGATAAACAAATCTTTTAATTATGTAATTATTTAGTCGTGATATTTTAATAATAAAGTTTTTTTACAATCAGTCAATTATATTGTCCGTCAATTATATTGTCCGTCAATTATATTGTCCGTCAATTATATAATATTAAAACAACAAAATACATTTTTGCAATTATAATATTATCTTTTCCTATTTGTACTGTGAACATTACTTAAATAGTATTTATTATTACAATGTCATATTATTTACTTTAACAATAAATAATTATCAAATATATATATGTGCGTATATGTATTGCAATATAACAAATCTTGTAATCATATGTATTTGTAAAATTGTAATACTTGTATCCTTCAGAATCAGTTATGAATTGATTTCTATTATAATTATGATGATAGTAATAAATAATAAATTGTTAATATCTCTCTTCTCTCTAAATATTGACATCAGTACTTCGTATAAATAGTTTCTTTGTTATTTAAATATTAAACACAACAAAGACACAAACTTAATTCATTTTTTTTCTAAGAATCAAAGTAATGATTTTCGTAAAGATAGCATATAGTTATTAATAATCCGATTAATGCTCCGACAAAGTAATTAAGGTTTATGGGCAGTGCAATTTTTATCCTGAAATGAAATTTAATAAATACATTGTAATGAATAATATACCGAACAAAATTCTTAAATGTATTCGATAACACTACTAAAGATATGGGACATATCTATTTCAATGATTTATTAAAATATTGTTGTTATTATTTACCAATATTTCTGCAAAAAAAGAGGAAATGCTGGATCGTTTCCAGGTATACGACTGTCCATATAAATAATGAACCAACTAGCAGAAGTTGCGATAATTCCTAATATTATTCCCACTATCATTATCTCATAGGGGTGATCGTACGTTTTGTATAGCAGTGCATCGAATAGAGCATGATAGCAATAGCAAATTGTATTTGCAAATGTTTCACCGATTATCACTATTTGTTGTACAAGTATGTTATACGCTTTTTCTACATTGACGACGATATTTGACAATGTAAAAGAATCATATAAATATGATGACATTTTTACATCTGCTTTTTTATTTACATCTGCTTTGTTATTTACATCTGTTGCGTTATATAAATCTGTTTTGTTGTATACATTCGCTTTGTTGTATAAATCTATTTTGTTGTATACATCTACTTTGTTATATAGATCATTAGCATTTTTGATCATTATTGAGAGTACTGGAATAGAAAAAAATAATCAAATTCAACCAAAAGAAATATATTTATATAATATGTAACATTTCATTCATGAGAGAATAAACAAAATTTATTCGAATAAGCTTCTTGTGTTCACCGACAAAAAATGATCATGTTACATATCTACAATTAAGCATTTAAACAAAAAACAACAGGAATATATAAAATGTGAAAATAATTCATTGCTACTGATTACGAAAAAAACAAAAATCTTTATCGCTTTATTAGATAATCATAAATAGCTTACCATAACTGAAATATATTTTCTCAACGATTATCAACGATAATACTAAAAATATAATTAAACTAAAGATCCATTCTTTGGATAATCTTCTTCTCCGTATTCTTTTAGACTTCTTTTTGTTGACATTTTCAAATTTGTTAATACTATTAGTATTCTTATACAGCGTACTCATATTTTCAGATATTTTTAATATATTTATATATTTAATTAATTTTGAAATATATTTTATTATTGAAAGAAAAAAGAAAATGTAAAGGTTAAATTATTTTTCTCAAATAAGAAATTACACTCAAAGACATAACCTGTATATGTTAAAAATAAGCATAACAATGATTATATCACTTTAATCTACTACGCATGCTCGGAAGTACGTCATTTTTTTGACAGGACTGTATTATTAAAATGAGGTTTTACATTTTTTCTAATCAAAACTTTAATCTTAAAATGTATTAGTTTCCTTAGTTATAAGAAAAAGAAGTTTAAATGAGTTAATAAAAACAAAAAGTCCACATTTTATATAACCTTAATCTTTAAAGATTTTATGCAATATTTTTGTACAGTAATAAGGGGAAACGTAAGAAAATATGTTTTAACATCTCAACTCATTTTTATGGACTACAAAACTTGTGCATTATCAAATGCAATTATTAAAACAATTATCTGATAGAAAAATAAACTGATATGAATTATGTAATAACGTAAAAAACAATGAAACGTTTACACCCCTGACTTTCTAGCTTTTTAATAGAAAAAGATAAAAGTATGATTAGTATAACGATCGATAATAAATAATTAACGTTGGAATTATTTGAAATAATGAAATCAAGGCGCTGACGAAACGAAAATGATATATTTCCTTTACGAAAATGAAACAAATTAAGTAAAGCAGAGATTAGATTTGTATTTGGTATTTAAAAGATTTTATTGGTTATGTTCACAATATAAAAAGATCGTAATGACTGAAAATAATAACAAGTTTTTTAAATTGTTACCAGATTGTGTTATTTTAAAGACTAAAAATAATTCTACTGACAATAATTATTTTATTTTCAAGAATAAACAGAGCGCTTGCTCAAGAATATGTCTAATCCTGTCGTTTTTGCAGCTGCGCAGGTGTATCGTCGTCACCTTCTCATTAGCATCTTGACCAAAAAGCCAGTCACGCTAGCGAGAGTATCCAACACGGCTGGTTATTCCTTTTAATCATTACAATTTCTTATATTCTTTATTTTTTCATTAATCATTCTAATAATTCATTTGAATCTTAATCGATAAATTTATTCCTAATCGATTATATCAAACAGGACGATGCAATGGGTGAAGGAAGGAGAGAACGTTCAAGTAAAAGGTAATTATTTTCATTATTTAAAATCGACCTCATTAGTTAATCTCCCAATATGTCATTTATTTCACATTTAATAAATTATTATTTTCTATTATCTTTTCTCTCTTTCTCTCTCTCTATTATTAATTCAATTATTTCTATTATCATTTCTTTTCATATCGATTGTGTATATCTATTTAAAACAAATCAAAGAAAATACGATTTTTAAAAATTACAAATGTCCAATCAAACGTCGTTTCTTATCGATTTGTTTTAGCGCGAAATTTAAAATTGGCGCCATACCGCTAATGCACGTGCTCACGCATAATCCTTAATTTCAATTTATTTTTAATGCACTTAACTTGCCCCTATGTATATCGAAAATATCGAATAATGAAATACGAGAAGAAGGAGGAAAGAGTATCTCCTGTTTAGAAAGGTGAAAACTATTTTGTAATTGACCTAAATATATAAAGAAGATGATCACAAAGCACTAGAGTAAAAAACACTTTAAGATACTATTATCGTGATTTTTTAAAGCGTAAGAATAGGTGAGAAAAGAGCTTGTAATTACATCAAGGAATTTATAGGTTAAGTAAACGAGCCAGATGAACGAAAAAGGCTAGGCGATGAATAGATTTGAGTCTTGAAGTCTGGGTTTAATTTCCTGCCATCACCTAAAGGATTCGAAGGGTATAACTTATCTAATCAGTGTTCAAAGAGGCGAGGGTGGAGTACTTCTTTCGATAGAATCTATATGCATGTAATATAAGATCAATTTAACCTAATCGATATGCGAAGGCCATACGATAAATCAAAAATTTAGATTTGAAGATAGTGTAAGAAATTTTCTTTATTTTTTATTTGTTAAATGTAATATCAACAAATTTCACACATTGTAATATAATATTAATTAGTTTCTATTTTCTTCATTTAAATGTAGAATTGTTTATTCTGGTAGTTGGAATATAGTAAACGTCGACAAATTAACGTTCCGATGGATTAGAAAATTTCTGTCTTAAGGACTAAGGTAACATTTTTTTAAGTATGTAATAAATAGTCAGAAAAAAGAAGTGAGTTAGAAGCAAAGGTATAAAAGGATCACGTTTCCTCTAGCCCTTTTAGCCCTTCCTATTTAAAGTGATTGCGTGCGAGTATCGTCAACTAAACGCGTCCAGATTGAATCACACATAGGGAGGAAAATTATTGACCATTGGTTAGAAGGTTCTTACCAGTGCGTAAGCATATACCTTTTGGACATTTGTTTGGCAGCGCATGCAAATCTTTCATGGGTGAACGATGAAGAAAAATTTGGGTTACCAGGTCGTCGTGATTCTTGGTGCTACCCCGTTGTCGTCATCATCGTCGTCGTAGTTGTTATTGTCGTTATTATCTTGAACACGAAAGGATCACTAAGAACGCACGAGATCTTTGCGATCGCAATTCTACTTGACCGAATATAATATGTATGTGTGTGTATAAGAATATACCTTCAGAATCATTTTCTAGATTGACGATGAATCTTTTAATCTGATGATCTTATAATTAGAAAAACAAAGGAATAATTGTACAATTATTTTTTGTTTAATAATTTTTCAAAATTTGTTAATTATTTCTTTATTTTTTATAACTGTTGTAGTTTCAGTTATCAAAGAAAATAGTTAAAAGTTACGTGTACAGTAACTTTATAGATAAATATATATTTATCCAACTTTTACTGCGCCGGTCTGAAGAAATATATAGACTATATGTACATGCATTATTAGGTAGCACTTCTATGTGGCTATGCAAATATCAGTGTACATTGTTTCTAATGCAAGAGAAAACAAAACATGTGGCAAATGAAATCTAACCGGAAAGCTTTCCTTGATTGTTATCAATTGTTTCGAAAAAGCAAGACAGTTCGTTTGAAATAATCTGAAGGATCTAAATGATGAATATTATAATACACAAGTATGTATTACAATAATTGATCATCGTTAGAAATTGAAGTTCTGACAAATTGATATTTAAAATGAAACAGATTATAAATAAGACATGCATTATTGAAAAGAATTGAAAGGTCAAAATAATCAATGAAACATTATATTTTTTAATCAATAATCGTTTCTCAATGAATCATTCATTCATTCATTCATTTTCATTCATGTTACTTTTATAAGTTAAAACAACAAGCTTAATCTGATCAACGCGTTAAATCATTCTAACGGCGCTAACAAACTTTAATTAATGTAAAAAATTAGGTTCAGCTTTTTTATCTTTTAATTCGTGATTTAAAAAAAAATTGGCAGCGGTGGGATTCGAACCCACGCCTCCGAAGAGACTGGTGCCTTAAACCAGCGCCTTAGACCGCTCGGCCACGCTACCACATTGACAAACTTTTCTGTTTAGCACTCAAAAGAGAAAAGACATATTGTCGTTCGCGCCGCGAATTGAATGTGGAATTGGAATTGAATTTGATAATACCGTACCACTAATTCTCATCCATAGTCAGTAAACTTTTTAATAAATTTTACTGTGTTTAGTTTCGAATGAGGAGGTAGTTGAGAGTAATTTAAGGATATTTAGGTGTAGGCCTAAGCACTATGTGCCCAGGTTTGCCGAATAACTCGCGAAAAATATATAATCGATCTTATGCGGGTAAACCAACGGAAAATATATCTATGAGCGAAATTAAAAAACAGCTATCTAGCAATTTATAAACGTTTTTTGGAGAGACGCTTCAACCATAGGAGACCACCAAAAATTATATGATAAAATTTAATGATTAAGTTATTTTAAGGCTGTTATTAGTTAAATATTTATAACGATATTGTTCAAAAATAAATAACTTTTTACAAACCAAAAAAACCGTAATAGCAAAAATTTAGAAGTAGTATAAAAGGCAAACCAAGCCTCAAGTCCAATTGGGACATTATATATACATATATATATGTAACATTAAGTAAATATTTTATTAAATTTAAGGTAAAAATTTTTGATGTTGAATAATTTTTGCAATTTTTTCCATTGAATATTAAAAAACATAAAAATGCCAAAGTGGCATTCAAATGCTCATCCAAATAGCAAAAAATAATTGATACATATCTATAGATAAAAATTATGATTAGATTTATATTTTTATAACAAATCATAGCTTATATTTTATCTGTTTGAGTTTTTCTGATAAGACATCTTTTACTTATGTTATGAATGTTAAAAATATTTGAAATAATAATATACTTTTTAAAACTAAAAAAAAATCTTGATAAGAAAGATTATTTTACACAGTTTAACCAATTTTTATCGATATTATTGATATTCGATTATATCGAATCAATTTCAAAAACCGCAGAACCATACGATAAATAGCGAGATTATTCAAATTCAAAATGGCACACCTTGAAAAGATTCCAAATAGCTTTCTATAATCCATCACTTGTTTGAAATCGAAACGATCTTGAATAAATAGAGAGAAAAAAATAGAGAGAGTTTAATCGCGTGTCTATTACGGAAACGACGTTATCGAATCACAATCAATTATCCATTTTGTGGGTCACGTTGAATCTTAACGTGGCATGGTTCTCAATATTCGTTCCAATTAAAAGAGCAATAACCTGAATTATGTAATGTTGACTCTATTTCGTTTAATGTATTTAAAAATTCGTTTTGACAAAAAAGAAATGAAAAAAAAAAAACACAAAAATATTAAGAGCTTTCATGTTTATAATTCATGCAATATAGACATTTATATCTTACAATAAGAAAAATAAAAATAAAGTAAGAGCTATAGTATTATAATATTGTTGATTACAGACACGAGAAGTTATAATTTATCGTGCGAATATTATTGTTATTCATGCGAAATATTTCCGATATACACGATAAACTATAATGTTACATATTTCTATGCATATATGTTAATATGCATGTATGATTTATACATATGAATGTATACACATATAATGTAATTATGTCTATACATATACATGTGTATCCTATGATCATCGATATAATTTGCTTTCATGTTGACGAGTCATTAGAAGAAGAAAACGGAATTTATTGTTCAAACTATTCTTCTTATTTGGTAGATCGATGCGTCGCGTCTGCCCGTTTTGTTGTAACGGCATGTAGGGTACCTTCGTACCACCCTTCTTCCTGTTCTCCGTTCGCCTCCTTCAACCCCTGTGCCACCCACTCTGTTTCTCTAGGGTGTTCCACTCTTTCTTTCTCATTCTATCTCTTTCTCTCTCTCTCTTTCTTCGTCCCTAGTAGCTATCAGCTTCACTACCGTTTAAAGATTCCAGTTGCCTCCGAGCATCCACTCGGATCGTGTGTCTAGAAAAAGATCTATTCACAACATTTCTTTTATCATCTAGATAACTATTTGTTTTTTTAATCATATTTCTTTTCTTACAAATTTTTAAATAAAAAATATAATAAATAATAAATTAAAGAGTGTCTAACGATATTATTTTTTTTTCTATGTAGACAAAGATCAAATTACGGAGTCAACAAATCATCATCGGATTCCGAGCTAGCCCAGGATAAGAAAAATAAAGGACGAAAAAGTAAATTGAAAGAACGGTGGCCATTCGCGGATGGATTGACGGTCGATGAGCTTGCTCGTTATCGAAGAAGACGGATTGAGGGTCATTCAAAAGACAATGTTAGATCTTATGCAGAATCTGATATACTTGAGAACGATACTTTAACTGAGTATCGTCGGGCTTTCCGTGCAAAAAGCGAAGAACTTCTTAAGGTAAACGATTACAGATATTACTTGTGTAATAATTTTAAATGAAGTATCTTTACAATGTTATTAACAATGATTTCTTTTTTTTTCTTTCTCAAGGAGAATATTTCGCCAGTTAAAAGCAAACGACCATCGAGCTTTATCCGATTGGATGATACCTATGACAACGTAGAACCATCATATAACAAAGATTTTCAAAAATATGAACAACTAGAGCTTCCATCTAAAAAGGCAGAACAACATTCATCTTTCGTTCTTGACGAAGGAGATATCGTTCCAATGGAGACTCAAACGGAGCAATCGAAATTTATCGCTCATACGAATATGATCGGTCGACCACCAATCATTAGAAGGTAATTGAATAATCTGATAGATCCTACAAACAATAAATAATTAATATATTTGATTAAATGATATACTAACAAAAAATTATATCTCTTCAAAATAGAGGTACCAGTTTAAAACGAGAAGGAAATTTCTATACGGAAACCGAAATGTATTCAGCTTACGTACCTTATGAAGGCCAACATAGGGCGGAATTAGCTCGAAGGCCAACGTCCTTGAAAATGGAAGGAGAAATGGAAACGATGACCGAGAAGTGTGAAAAGTTCATTCAGTGGTTGAACGTCAGCAGGCCGGAACTTATGCGTGTTCCAACGCAACTTAAACTCGAGGGTGAATTCGAGACTAGCACAGAAAACCATGAAAAGTACGTCCCTTTCGTAGGAGCGAGAAGGCCCGAACTACTTAGGCAAGGTACGAGTTTAAAACTCGAGGGTGCAACCACTTTCGTGGCTGAATATACTGACGTTTTTAAGCAACACGCACTCACTGGTGAGAAAGGATATTGAAAGACTTGGTAGACCTTAAAACCTTTAATTAACACCAATCACACGGGTTTCTATCGCTTTTACGTCTTAGATTTATTGTAGATAGACAACCACCAGCGAGGAAACCTGAAACGCATTTGAAAACCGGTAATAATTTCTACGATTCAACCGAAAACAAGAACAACTATATTAATCCTCGCGTTAGAGAGGCTCAATTGATGGCAGAATTGGCTAGAGATGTTGAAGAAGAAGAGGAAGAGGAAGAAAAGAGAAGAAAAAGAGAAGAGGAAGAAAAAGAGGAAGCTAAGAAAGACAAAGAGATGCAAATGTTAGTGTCGAAATTAGAAGAATTGAAAAGTCCACCCTTAGAAATTCCGGAATACAAAGATGCCTACAAAGTATCGACATTGTTTAATTATATATTATAGTTGTACTCTTCTTATCTTATAATCTTTCGAATGAATGTATAATTATTACTTGTTGTAGGATTTTCCAAGAGAACGGCCAACATTCTCGAAACCCGAAGACGAAATTGGTCGAGCTGATGGTTCCAAAATACTCTTATCTCCGACACGTTTGAAATTTTCAACAAAAATTGATCAGGATCCAGAATACAAATCCAAGTATCTCGATTATCCTAAGGATTCATTCGTTTATCGAAAACCACCGTTGACATTGAGAACTACTCCAGCTTGTTCAGATCGTTTTACCTGCAACAAACATAATTTTTATGAGACCAAACGATACGATTACGAGCCAACTAGCGAAGTAAAATCACAATATGTTCCTTATGGTCACGTTCCACGTGTTAAACCTATGAGAATGCCAGCTAATTTACGATTAGAAGGTAGTATCGATCTTCAACCAGAATATAGAAATGCTTACTGCAGCCAACGTGATTATCGATCTTCCTGTGATTTGAAGAAACAAAAAAATCGTGAGAGAAGTTTCAGTGCATCGAGAAAGAAAGATAATTATTGGATAAACAATAATAACAGTGAAAGATTTGGTTGCGTCAATGCTGCTGAAGATCAGGATGCTTTTCAAGTATTGAAAACTCGAGTACACGAGGATAGTATCATTGGCAAACCGCCACCAAGTAATCGAAGGTAAAATAATAACAAATAAATGTATACAATTAATTATAAATAATTGTGTTAATATTGAAAAATGTATTAAGACATTATAGAGGATCGCAGAGTCAAGAACCAATGCAATCAGATGCTGTTGTTGATCATAATATTATCAGAAATCGATCACCTAGTCCAACTTATCGTCTTCACGTTTGCAACGTCGATGATGAACCTCGAGGTTTTGGTCAACGTAAACGCTCAACGCAAATCGAGTCTTCCGAAAGAATGCACGATCCATTACCAGATCGTTTTAATAGAAACATTGTTCGTAAATCGTATTCTCCTAGTTTCGGTAAAAACGAAGCTAAAGAAAAACAATTGGATAATGAACAATCTTTCGTCGTTTTGGACAATGTCAATAAGTGTCGTAATAAAAAAGAAACATGTAGAAGAAGATTGGACAAGAATTATAACATAGAAAATAATTTATCGATGTCCAGAGGAAGACCAAGAACACCAACCAATTGGATGCCACCCTGGTACGATAGTACTAATACGATCTAAATCATAATAGATCATTATAATAGTCACAATTAAAAGAATAAGAAAAGAATATGTTGGAAAAGTAATGCAATGCTATCAATAGAAAATATGATCCTAGAAATAATACCTTAGCTACATGTACTGCCTACAATGGGATATGATTTATTTCTAATATATAATATTCTATGTTCGTGTATATGCAAAAGGCTGAATATCAAATTTACAAAATTATATAATAGTAGTCGTCACGAGCATGATATTAAAACGCACAAGATACGTATTGCAATATAAGAAGAAAACAAAATATAATTAGATAAATTAATAGCGAAAAAAAACAAGAAGGAAAAATAGTATTATAGTATACGATTTTCGTATGTTAACAAATTTTTAACCGGACATCAGTAGTAATATAAACATGCAATTTGATTATTAAAATATTTTATCATGTTGAATTCAATATTATCAATTTTCTAGAACGTTTACTATATATTTACAAATTAATTTTAATTTAATAATAAATATATCAGATATAAAATGTATTGATTTTTACATAATTTATATAACAATAACCGGTTAAAAATATGTTAAAAACGAAGCACGTCCTCCTCTCGCGATTTTGCGATGCGCACTGCGGAAGTCTGCCAATATCTATATATAAAAACCTGTCGTGTAACTCAGGAATATAATTGAAGCGATGTAAAAAGAACGATAATATGACGCCGTGCATCTGTAGATCGTTCGAAAAGTAATTTCCATAAAAAGTCCCTTTTTATATGATTATCACCGTCTTTTATATATACATACAACACATACACACATACCTCTCATGCCATATATTTTTTTACTGTTATTAAATGCCAAACATAAAAAAAAGACAAAGATATTATAGGAACACAAAAGAAAATATGTAAGAAACCGTACATCCATTTTTACTATACTCGATTCTTTTTTATATAATAAAAGCATTTATCTTTGAGAAGTTTACATTTGATCTATCGATGCACAATGACGCGCGTCTATACTACGAGCAAATATATATATATAAATATATTATGTAAAATATACATGCCAATTTTATTATCATTATTACTACTACATATATGTATACAGACGCTTTTGTTTAGCTAAGTAGTAGAATGTCTGACTATATAAAGTGTATAAAATAAGATCATATCAATTGTTGATGCTAATAGCGTAATTGTTATTATATATTATTTCGAAGAATAAAAAAGTAATATTAATTTCACGTATTTTTAAGAAGTTTCAGAAAAATATAATTTAAAAATGATTTAAAAAGAATATATGTAAAAATTTGTCAACAAACTCAAATAAAAAAAATTGAAATTAAATCGAATGAAATTTGATATTTTGGAATTTTGAATATTAAATAATAATCGAATAATCGATTAAATCGATTCTCGAACAATCGATTAATGCAACCATCCTAAAGAGTTATATATATATATAAATCTAGCGATCTGAAGTATGCTCTATATTTAATCGATTTGACTATATTCGGTAATATTCGCGACTTTGTTCGTGAAACACAGTTTCCCTAGTGTCGATTCAACGTGTAGTTTTAAATATTGCAGATTATTTTATACTTCCTACATTAAATTTATAATATATATATATATATAATTCTTCAGTGACTTAAAAAATATTGTATTAAAAAAAAACAATGGATCCAGAATTAGAAGCAATTCGCAAACAACGGTTAGCACAATTGCAATCTCAATATAAGGTAATTTTCCAAGATATCTATTATTACACTGTCTCAAGATAAATTGTTAAAATTATTAAAAAGTGTATAAATTAATCTGATTCAATATCTCTCTCTTGTAACATATTAAAATAAAATAAGCGGTAAAATTCTACCTAAAAAATTTGACTTTTGAAGGTTAACCTTTAATATATTATCGACCATTTAAAAAACCATTGTAAACACACACACATAAAAAATGTATATAAATAAGAAATAATAGTAAAATAATAAGTAGACACAAGTATTGAAACAATTATTGAAATAATAAATATACTTATATTTTAGGGAGGAAATGTGGAAAATAAGCAAGCGATGGAAGAAAAAAGACAGCAAATGGAAGATATGCGTAATTCAATTCTTACCCAAGTACTGGATCAGGCAGCTAGAGGAAGATGTAAGAATTTTGTATTTGGAATGATAACTCATGGTTAAAATAGAATAAAATAATGATAGTACATACCTTGGCTTAAAAATTAGTGAACACACTTTGCCTTGGAAAACCAGAGAAAGGAAAAATGGTAGAGGAAATGATTTTGAACATGGCTCAACGTGGACAATTATCTAACAAATTAGGAGAAAAAGAACTAATCAATTTGCTAGAAAGTATAAATCAACAAACACAAAAAAGAACAGTTGTTAAGGTATGTACTGTTTTTTTTCTTAACCCTTTCACTGCGAGACACTCAAAAATGAACTGCTCTCTGAGCAGCGGGCATGACTGTCGGAGATCGGCCGCACGGAAGGCATGATGTGTGAGTCGTTCTTTGTTAAAAAGAAATTCTGAATAAGAAACGTATACATCAAAAAAAGCCATGAATGTGCATTATTGAGAAGTTGATAATAACAAATAAACATTGCACCTAAAGATGCTGTTCACTGAGAGACAGAAACTATGGTTGAGTGCCTAAAGACACTGTCCACAGCAAAAGGGTTAACATACGCTTTAAAAAGATTTTAATTGATTCATAATAGTAATAATAAATTAATAATAAAAATTTCTGTTACAGTTTGATAGACGAAGAGCAGCATTAGATTCTGACGATGATGATTTATAGCCTTCGAGATGATAATATTTGTGTTATTTTAAATGATTTTCTGTTTAATTATTAGATAAATAGCATTACAGCAAATTGTGTATTTATACTTCATTGACTTGACTATTTTCTGTTTAATTTTTATGCTGCTAATATAAAAAATTTATATGATATTATTAATGTATTGTTATTTAATCAGTATTTTTTTGTAATTTCAATAAGACAATGAAATTTGATTTGTCTCTTTATAATTTTGGTTTAAGCCATCTCTCTCAAAATATATACATGAAATTATAGTTAATTTTATTCGATGTAGGTAAGTATAATATACACCTAAAATACATATAACGTATAATTTGTACTTTTTGTCTAAAAAAATTTTTCTCATAATAATTTTAATCAATTAATATATATATATATATATATGTATATAAAACGTTTATACGATTATTTTTAATAGTACCTTAAATGTATGTCAAATAATTGACATATATAAAAGTCTATCTTTGATTTTAAATGCAGATACATATATATATAAAGTGTAATTTTTTCCTTATATCTCACACGAATATTTGTTTAAATAAATAAATTAAAAGATATAAATCACAGAACTAACTTTCAAAAGACTGAAATGAAAACTTACTTTTTGTATTGTCTTATGTATATTCTACTTGGCCAAGATGAAGTTGTAATAATGTATATAAGTACTTTTCAATTACAATCATAGTTGAAGATGAAGCCACAATGAAAATGCTAAAATATTTTAATAGATCTTCTCTTTTCTTGATTTTTGCCAACCAAAGAGTAATTGGGATAATACCTACATTAATACATAATTAAACATTCAGTAACATATAAAAATAATATTATTATTTATATAATATATATAATTATATAATTTATATAATATATAATTAATTAACACACATAAGTTTATAATTAAATATATTTGATTATACATTACCTATTTAATTTCCAAAATTCTGCAAAACGTTATATGTATATTTACATAATATAATGATGACTTTGTTATTTTATTCATTTATAGGACACACATTTTTGGTAATTCTTAATCTTTTTTCATATGGCTTCCTCCAGTATGTTCTACGCGATAATAATATTAATTAAATTATAAAAGAAGTGTATAAAAAATATTGTTGTACAATATATTTACCTTCCTCTTCATCATCGGCATCTAAAATATCCGGACAACAAATGCCGTAACAAATTAATGAAAGAAAACCAGCTGGCAAGCCAAATAATACCATTGTTAAAATAGGATTGCCCATCCACATAGCAGCGAGTGTTGTTTTCAACTCAAACCATGATCTATAGATGCGTACTAATAAACTATTTCCGCCATATCGCTAAAAATATTTCGTATAAGTTTGTATCGTATAAAAGCAAAAGAAAAAAAAGAAGATAGATTTTTATTAGTAATACCGGAGCACTTTCATTGCGAATTTGCTCTAGGAACAATTCTATCACATGAGGCGTCAACTTTTCTGTTTCATCCTCTGGAATGTGGTGATGATTTGTAGTAGTGTTAATAACAATTAGGCTTGGCAACGGTAAAACCATCATAGCTATACTGTTGACTAGATCAGGACTAGCTATCCAACCAAATTGAAAATGGCTGTAGAACGCATATATAAAAAAAGAAATGTTAGAATAATTTATGTAGACAATTAAACAATAATTATATAACAATTCTTACATTAAATGATTACATACTCGTGATATTTCTCTCGCTTTCTCTTAATCACAGATTCAACCATGTCTCGAAATTCAATCATACGAGGTGAGACCTCTTCTAATTGATTCTCCTCTACAACTGCTAAAACCAAATTTTTATTTGTCAAGAAAAGTTGATTAATGTTTCCTCTTGTTACTTTTGGAAACGTTGGGAAACGTTCTGCATTAATCCACTTGTATAAAGTTTCGTTTAACTTCTCTATATTGGTCATATTGTGACCTAAAATCAAATATCATACATTATAGTTACTTATAATTTTTCAATTAAAAAATAATGTACATATTATCTACCGGTAAAATTATAATGTAAATTTTCTTTATATACAAATAATGCTGGAGTATTTTCCACAGGTGCATGCCTGTTAACAACGTTTGGATGAGATTGGTAAAAAAATGCATGCGGTTGGAACACATCTGCAGTCTTGTGATATAACTCCTACAAATATAAATATTAATACAATTTTAAAAGAGTAAAATCAATTGAAAACATGAATTAAAAAATAATCATTTTTTACCCATAACGGCCCTGATCTTTCTCCAACATATAAAAAGTAAAGATCACGCTCTTTCTTAATGGTATCAAAGCTTTGACTTTTAGTAATTTCTTGTACAGGAGGACCACTTAGTCTCAATGCAAATTTAACTATTTCATCTCTTGTTCTATCTCCATGGTATGTAAATTCATTATCTCCTTTTAAACTATATCAACAGAATAATATAATACTGTACTTTAAAATTTAATTACAACTATTTTTAGACATCGAATATTTCTCTTCATATACATACAACAATATTGTAGGAAAGCCTTTAATCTTGAACGTATGTGCAACACTTGTAAATCGTGTACAATCAACACGGCCAACACGTATTGATGTAGCGTGCAAATGTTGCGCTACGTGAGACCAAATTGGTTCTAATCTTCTGCAATGTGCACACCATGGTGCATACATCTAAAAGAAATTTTATATAAAATCTAATTTATTAATTCATCCTTTCATATTTACCATCACAAGCCATTGTCCATCTTTATGAATTTCCAAAAATCTGTAAATAAGGTTCTTAGTGTATGTAAATATTTTGTTAGTTTAAGGAAATAATAAATTATATAAATATATTCTCACCTATCGCTTAACTCAAGGACACGAGATGCAGTAGTATGCATAAAAATTGCTGAAAAAGCTAGATTGTATTTCAATAAGAAAATATAAAAAAAAAGTGAATTATTTTATACATTAAATTTACACTGTCAAATATGTTTTCATGTATAAAAGTTTATTAATATGAGATTAGAAAATAGGATCTTAATATTATTAAAGTTAGGAATCTAAATCATGTTAAGAGAAGTTCAAGCAAGCAATAAATTATCGATCGATAGTATTTGAGGTTATTTTTACAGTAACATTAATTTTAAGTAATTAACATTTTACTGAATAATAACAAAATTTTGTAATAATATAAAAGATAATAATATAATATAAATAAATAAATGATAAATACCGTAAAAGGCTACGACGAACGTAATTTTTGTTAGCGAAACCATTGTTGTCATATCACACGATTGTTGAGAAATCGAAAGAGGAGCACACTTTTTATAACCTTAAAAATATGGCCCGGCCAAGATTACTCCCACATTATTAAGATGTTCATACTTAAATAAACATATTTCTCATGCTTGACGTGTCACACACTCGAAATATTCAAACGTGTGTGATACATTTTTTAACTTTACAGAACGCGACACAAATTGTCGCACCCACTGCATACAACTGTAATATGTGTGCTTCTTTTTGTATAGATAGATGAAAATTAATATTTTTGCATTATCTTCAGAGAATAACAATTTTTGTACACTTTACATTTTGTTAATAACACAGATCGCAATATTTAAAAACTACCTAACAATTCAGGTTTGGTAATATAAAACAATTTATTTCTCTCTCTCTCTCACTCTCTCGCATCAGAAATTAAGAATATATTTTTAACTAAAGATGTCACCAAAAAATAAAAAATTACAAAGAAGCTCACAAGTCATCTTTTCGCGTAACTAAAATCATCTTAATAAGTACCGGGACCACCAGTGGACGAGAGTAGGTATTTAACGCGATGACGGTACAATACTATCAAAGAATATTGTATTCTCTCCACTATACACTCTCGTCCACTGGTGGTCCCGGTACTTATTAAGATGATTTTAGTTACGAGAAAAGTTGACTTGTGAGCTTTTATTGATGTGACTTACAAACTGCATTTCCGAGATATTCGTTGCTAGCATTAAGGCGTAATATTTCGGATTACTTCAAACAAAAAATTGATTAATATTACGAGAACTAATAATTAATATAATATTTAAAATGCATTAGTTACATATTGCTTTTTTATAGATTTATCATATTTTTCCAATAAATTTAAATGAATTGAATTAGAATATTTCAGTCTTATTAAACAATGTGAATGTCGATATTGTAGAAAATTAAATGACGTTAATTTAAATCATTGGATGTAACCTCATCGGAATTCTGAAAAATAATATCCCTATTATTATAAATTATTAGTAAAAATGTATACATACATATAATTTGTTTCTTTCTTTTCACCTTTTAATCTGTTAAAGTACTATCTGGTAAACCACCGAGTAAGATCATTAGAAATATATAGGTAAATTGCAGAATGTTAAAGATCACAGTAATAAATGTGAGATAAAAATTAAATATTAATAAAAATGGAAAGAAAATGATAGTAACGCCTACGGCAGCCAAACCTCTTAATATATTACCCATTTTTAATTTTTTTCACTAACTTTTTCATTCTAATCATACATTTGTTATTTTTTGATCTTATATTCAAACACATTTAAATAAAATACGTATACAGAATGTATAATTAGCATACCTGCATTGATTCATCAATTTCTTCTATATCCACCAAATCAATACCAGTAATTAAAGACATTAATAACAAATACATTCCTAAAGAAACACTTACGAGATTTGAAAGAAATATCATATACAAATATAAAATATATAAAAACGGTAGAAAAATTAGGTTAGTAAAAAATTTTGCTATCGTTTGAAACAGTCGCATTTTTTATATAAAAAAAAAAAAAAAGAAGATATCCGAAAAAATTCCAATCTACGTTAACTGTTTTAATTCCAATGACATATATAACAATACATAACAAAAACTGATATTAAAATATATACAATTAATTAGAAAAGTAGTTTAATGTAAATAAAAAAATCTGTAAAATTAGTATTTTTATTACTTACTTTACGTTATATCAATTTATATTATAATACAGTGAAAAACCATTGAAATGATTATTATATGATTTAAACTACTTTCATAATCATCAGCAGTATATTTCTACAAATTGTATAATTAAATATATAGATTGGATAATTCTGATTTTTCTTTTTTAAGATACAAACTTGTTTCTTCTTGGTTTAGGAATAGGAATCTCGTTTTCTATAGTGAATGTAGCATTACTGGGCAGCGAACTATCACTTTCTAACATTTTAACAAAAGTTTTCTCACTATCATTCAAAGATCTTTCATTAGCTGAAGTTTTCATGGAATTCAAATCATGATTCTGTTCAAACTCAGCTTTCTCTACGATATAAGTGCCAGCACTTTCTGGTGAAGTAGAAGAAATAATCTTCGATTCGTGAACTTCTTGCTTGATCACAGAATTCAAAGAATCAAAACGATCGTCCGAAATTTCTTTACAAAAAACTTGACCCCTTCTAGAACTTTGTGCACCATCGGAAAAAGCTTTCGGTGTGTTTTCTTGAACAATTTTATTCCTTCTTGAATCCTTAGCACTTTTTGATCTTCTCCCATCAATATCGAGATCCGAATAATTTTCTTTCAAAACGTGAAACGTTTTTAGCTCAATCTTTTCTTTGTCATCGTAACTCAAAGAACTGGATTCATTGTACGAACTAGAACGATCATTTTCGATATTATCTTTCATAGAAGATAATTTCTTCGATAATTTCTTTCTATCGTTATATATATCCTGGTTCTTAAAAAGACAACTTCGACCTGATTCAAGATCATTCGACGATCTGGACGTATTCGAAAGTATTCTATCGATTTTCTCGATAATGTTATACAAACGACTTGTGCTACGACTTTTTAATTGTTCTTCAGTTTCCTTCAGTCGTTGTAATTTTAATTTTGCACTCTCGTACCTTCTTTCGTTTGCTTCGTCTTGAAAAATATTCATGATCGTTGAATTACGACTTCGAGCGGATCGAAAACTGTTTAATTCTCCTTCATTTAATAATTCCTGTCGTCTACCATTTGACATTGATCTTGATCTTTCTTTGACAGAAACATTTGGAAGATTCAAGCTCAGATCAATCCTATAATCTCCCATTCCTGTCTCAGTTTCCATCGTCATCGACAAACCTATATCCTTTCCTGTTGAATTCTTGTCAAACTTGAAAATTCTAACTGGAGCAGGACTTCCAAAACTCGAGAATGCTAATACATGATCGTAAGGATGGTAATCAACGCAAGTTACTGCTCTGAAGGTTCGTTCTATCGTATATTTTGCCAAATATCTACCAGTTTCTAAATTCCACACGTTCAAAGTCGAATCTTCACCACCACAAAAAATCAAACCACCACAGGGTGAGATACATGCTGTTAATTGTATCCTGCAAGATAATTATAATTAATTAGTTCATAATCTTAACATATTTAGGTTTAGAAAGAGAAGAAAAGAATACCTTTGATTTTTCAAACCATCATACTTTTGTAATACCACACCAGCAGCAAGATCTATCATTCGCAGACCATTGTCTCTCGAATGAACGAGCAATCTTGATTCGAGTGGATGCAAAATAATCGTGTTTATTATGATATTCTCGATTTCACGAATTTTTATCTTTTTTGACAAGTACCATTCTTTCCTAGAAGACATTCTACGATTTTTTTTCACCGTCCACAGTATAATCATACCAACACTGTCAGCTGTTAGAAGATTACCATTTTTGAGAAAGCATAAAGAATTAACGAATCCTTCATGTGTTTCTAACTCTTGACTAAGCTCGTAATTCTTTGATTTCGAATCTCTCGTCCATATTCTTGTAACACGATCATAACATCCTGTAGCTATTATAGATGCGTTTTTTCGATTGAATTTACCACAGTAAACGTAAGAAGGGTGAGGTAACATCTAAACAAAAATTTCATGGAAAATTTTGGATTCTATATAATAGAAATATTTATAAAAATATTAATTTTATCAACTTACTCGAATGTGTTGTACAATTTTATTACGAACATCCCATATACGAGCTGTTTGATCCGATGAAACAGAAAGTAAATAATGATCATCGGGCGACCAGTTCAATGAATAGATGAACGTTTTATGTCCAGAAAATCGAACGTGAACTTTAGTAGATTCAATCTAAAATTCATTCAATGTTACAAGACATTCGTTGCAATTAATCATTTTAAAAAATCATTATACCTCATATACTACTAAAGGATAATCATATTCTTCGGAAAAAACGCAAGCTAAATATTTGCCATCGTTGTTAAAGGCAAGAAAGAAACATCCATTTTCACTAATTTCACTTTCGAAGCATTTCTCATTCGGTATTTTACAAGATTGGGCAGCCAATCTCGTCCATTTTGGTAAATTAATTAATTCTGACGATTGCACCGATAACTTATGAGATTCTTTTCCAATATCCAAAATATCGTCGAAAGAGAGCTGCTGATAAAATACTGGTTCTAATTTCGGTGGATCTATTGATGTAACAGTGACGTAAAGACTACTTGGGTATTTGTCTCTTTTATTCGATTTCCACCAATTGTAAACCTGTTAAAAAGATTTCTTTAAGAACTTTGTCATAAAAAAAGATATAATAAAATAAGAAATAATAGTTTTCACCTCACATCTTCTTGAACCAAAGTTTCTTATACTTTTCTGAGGCCTGTACAATTGCAATCTGATCTTTTTGTCAACGTGTATCGCGTTATTCGTTCCAACTGTTTTTAAAAATGCCCAGGCTATTTTGTACCAACATCCTTCATTACCTATTCGCAAGAAATTTCGATTATTATAAAACATAACAGATTTGATTAAATTGAACATGTGAAATAAAATCAGAAAACTTGCCAAACCTATCGTAGTTGAAGCTAGCTTCAGCGAAACTCAATAGATCAACAATTTCAAAAAAAATAATAACTTGTTCATTCGCAGTCTTCATAATCATTTTAAAATCATGTTCAAATATAAGTTCCTCTTCCCAAATAGGTATCATTGATCTATTCTCCTTAAAATCAAACTTTTCAGTGATCATTGGCTGTAGATAAGAACTTCCACCGTTATCATTTTGATTTTTTAAATAATTACCAGTTTCTGCTTCAATAATATGTACTTTAACCATAGGATGTTTCGTCACATAATCAATTTCAAGCATATCAGCTTTATGAATCGTAATTAGGATGTATTTTATTACTTCAATTCTTTTCTTCTTTTTCTTCTTTTTTTTCAATTTTTCTTCTTTCGTTAAATGATTTTTCTTCTTTTTATTTTCAGATAAAGTTTTATCAATCGACATTCTAGATGAAGATTCTTCTTCTTCTTTTTCTTGTTTCTCCTCATTCGTTGAAAAACTTTCACAACTCGAATATTTCGTAATTTTTGTCTGCCTTTTTAATACATTATCTCGATCATCATTAATTAATTCGTCTTCTGATATCACATATTGCAATCTATCATTTGAAATGTCTTCGATACTTTTTGAAAAATTCGAACAAAGAGAACTTTTTCTTCTTCTTCTTCTTCTTTTAGATAAATCTGAGGTCTTATTCATAGACGACGAAGAAACATTAGAATCTTGAGTATCTTTTATAATCGACGTTGTTTGTTGTTTTCTAGAAAAATTCCTTTTCGAATTTTGAGACGAGGAAGGTGTATCAGTTTGATCACTTATCCTTCTTATTTCAATTCTCGTGTCATCTCTAAAATGATCTCTCTCAATTCTCAATACTTCTTCGTTCTCCGAAACGAATGCTTCATTTTCAAAAGTAAAACGTGAATTTGATTTAATAGTCGAAGATGATCTAGGAGCTGGTATCGGTAGTATTCTTGAACTTTCTAAAGTCTTTGAAATATTTTCGTTTATCGGTGAAGAAGAACCTAACGTTTCGGGTAAACGAATAACGCTGGTATCTTTGGACCAACGTTTCCTAGCTGGCTTTTTTAAATTCGTAACTTCATTTGTCATAGGACGTACTGTTTCCCATTGTTTTCTACGACGTGGTTTCTCTTCTAATAAATTTTGCGAAGATCTCGATGATAGGACAGGCGTTGAAATAGTTTCTTCGTCATTGTCTTCAAATTTTTCTATCGTATCTGTGACAAAATTATCTTTCGATGCAACTTTGATCTTTTTCTTAGAGTCTTCTTGAGAATTATTAATTGAAGACAAATTTTCTAACTCTGATACTTCAGTTAACTTGGAGTCAAGAATTTCAACATCATTTTCTAATGATTTCATTGGTATCGTTTCTTCATAACGTTGATGAACGTCCACGACCACATCAACGGATTTTAAATTATTAGATCTTTCTAATTTTTTTCTATTAACAAGAAAAGGAGTTGAGTTCGTTCCTGCTTTTATATCCGATTCGTTGCTCATCGAATTTGTCAGAGAATCATTTAAATCATTTTTTTTCGAACTCAGTAACATTTTACGATCATTAGTTTCAAATCTTTGCGCATTTTTCTTCTTCTCTAGTTTTTTTCTTTTCACAAGTGTTAATTGATTGATTGATTCCATTTCACTTTCTGATCTACTTGCATTTAAATCAGACGTCCAATCAGAATTACGCACCAAACGTGTCTTATCTTTCTCTGACATTGTTAATCTTTTTGTTATTTAGATTTTTATAACAAAATAAAACTTTTTCGGCAATTCTTCATCTCCTTAAGTCACGTATGTAAAAAGTATTATTATAAATCGTTATTTGCTTGTCACTATAAAAGCGTATAAATTTTATTTATATAATAACGCTCATAATTAAGATTTAAATGAAGTTTTCTATCACTGATCTATTTCTTGGTACTCTTAAAATATCGATTTTTTACAAAAATTTAATAATAGAGTGTACATATTTTTCTGTTAATATTTTTTTAAAATTATAGAACTTTATTTGACAATATTCATTTTATTTTTTTGATACACGTTTAAAGTGGTTAACACTTTGACAGACGACACCAAACTGATTGCATGGCCTACAAGAACTAAACTCACATTTATTCATACTACTCGCGGAAATGTGAATAGATCGATAAACGGCAGGTGTTTACCGCTCTCGTGTTTGTCTGTGTATAGAAACTCGTATTGATTATAATGCACTTATAATCCACCTATTTTTCTAACATCAAATCGATTTCGAAATAGTATTAGAAAAAATTCATTCGTAGAAAAGTACGATTAATCGGATGAATAGGTTTTTCCTTTCTATATTTATTAATCACATAATTGTATGTAGATTAACATAAGTTAATTATTCTAATTTGTTAAGCTAATTGATAATTTCATTACCGTTTATATCATTGTTGTTTAATTCAACGTCGTTTTCTGCAGATCTTCTCGCTTTTTCCTAAAAAATAAAAAATATTAATTAAAAATAATGTCACATATAAAATATAAAAAGAGCAAATTTTATTTTGATGGAATTCAAATAAAATTCAAAATTCTTACCGCTTCTATAATACTTATATAATCTTGTTCACATTGTTCTATTAATGCATCTTTTGAACATAGAACATTTTGTTTCGAATCTTCACGATTGTTACTTTTCGAAGGATCGTTCATGCTGTCTGAATCGACATTAATGCGAAGAGACTTCATTTTCAATCTTATTTCTCTATTTTTTGCTTCGATCACTTTTTCTCTTCGTGTTTCTCTATCCAGTAGCTATACACAAATATAATTAAATAAATTTATACAGAATAAACTAGTCTGAGAATCATTTTTAAATATAAAAATATACTTCACTGCTGTTAATAATAATTTATCATTTTTATGATTAATCTTAAGTGCTTCCGATAATTCGAGTAAATATATTATACCATTTCTACTAGCAACAGCAATTAATTGTCCTTGTTCATGAGGTCTTACACAAGTAAGAGTTTCATCGCATACCTAAAAATTAAAATAGACTTTTATATATATTTAAAAAAAAAAATAAATAAATAAATTTAAAAATATGACCTTTATGCTAAGAACCGGAGTATCTTGTTGTATTAGCAAATCCCATACATCCAAAGTTCCATCAATTTTGATCAAGAAAAATACCGAAAATCTTGTTGTACTCCATGAACCACCCATTACAAATTGTCGATGACCTCTGATAGATTAATCATTCAGAATTAATATTTCTTTTTATATTTTACTTATATCATACTTACGGAGTCCAAGCAATACAAGATTCCCTACAATCTTCGGACCATATTCTAGCAGTCCAATCGCCTATAGTTAAAAAATTTTTAATAAATGTTGGATTCCGTACTAAACCTATTACTGGACCATACTGAACTTCAAATCTAACTGCTAATTTTTCACTTGGTGTTTTTCCTTTACGATTTGCGGATATTACCATACCTTGAAGTATACGAGAAGATTGTAAATATAATTAAGATATTGATCAAAAAATTAATAGACAAAAATAAAATAGAGAATAACCATTTTCTAGACCACACATAAATCGTGAACTCATAGAAGGTTCAAATTGTAACGCGGATACACCGGTTGCCTGATCCACATTTTGATTTTCAGGTTTTTCTAAATCTATCACCAAAGTTTCAGTAGGAACTTTCATTTTTCTTGTATCCCACCATTTAATCTACAATATACATAAAAATATAAAAATCAATTGATTAATAATTGAATATATATTTTTACAATATATTAAACCTGTCCATCCTTTGAAGAACTGAAAAATTCAGTTCCAGTTTTCGAATTGATCCACAAAACGTTATCACATGGATCTCTATGACTCTGATTAATTAAACTGACTTCATTAGGTTCACATCCTTTCCTTATATCCCAAAATGCTACTTGCCCAGTCATTAAACCACCAACTAAAACATTATTATCCTTCGAACTATATTCTAAAGTTAAAATCGGACAAAATGGTTTTAAAGTCATAAAAGGACTGCCTGGATTCTCTGGAAAGTAAATAAAATCATTTTATTTTTGTTTATATGCAATTTAATATTAATATAAGTAATTTACTAACCAATGTCCCAAATGTATGATGTAGGATTGAAATTGATTGTATTTTTAAAATCAGTATTACAATAATTAGCAGCAAAACGAGTTCCTTGATCAGGTGACCACGAAACATGTGTTATCTGACGTTTTACTGACAAAGGATCACGATATACATTCACTGTACGGGAAAATGTTTTTGGTATCAATGACGTTGCTTCCGTATCATTAAAATATTGTTCATAAATATCGCATACATTATTTTGTAAAATACAATGTTCCATTGGCTGAAAAAATTAAAAATAAAAATAAATAAATAATGCAAAATATACAAAATTAATTTTTAATAGAAAATTAATTATTTTTATTAATCTTATAACTGTTATAATTACAGGTAATAACTGTAACATGGTATGAATATATAATTCATCTTTTTCTATCTTCCGTCTGTATCGAACTGTTTGTTCTGCCTCTTTCATATTAATATCTTTTGGCCAACCACCCTCATAATGATACATTCCATTATTCCTATAAGTTACAGTATTTGTGTTTACCTATAAATAATTATACACTTAGTTATTATTTGTATTTATCTTTAAATATATTTAAACATATGTATATAATACCTCATGAGCAGCGAATACTTTACTGTACTGAGTACTTCGTGTGATAGTATTTATTTTCATGTTATTATGCATCAGTGCTGGACTTAATTGAATACCTAGTTTTATATAATCTAACTCTGAAAAATTACACGTTCTACTAAATTGCAATTTTACATTACGTGTATTACAAATTCCTAATAATTTTCTTGTCATAATTAAATTGAATACCACTTGCCAATGATAAAATACAAAATGTTTACATTACGATTAATTCTTTTTTTATTATTATTTTAAAAATCATTTATAAAAATATATTTATATCAATGAAAAAAAAAAAATCCACTCGCAAGAAGGTAAATTGTAATTAAATTATAATAAAGCTCGCAAACATCCACTCAGTATACATAAGTATGTCTGTTAAATCAAACATGTTGCCTTAGCAACTTTCTAAGGATCTAATACTATGTAGAAATTTATTTAAATTACATAAAACTATTCCTCTATTCTAACTAAAACTGGATTTTGTGGATTTAAACCTTGGCTCACAATATCAATCATTTTATATATCTGTAAATATGCATCATCTGTTAGTTTTAAAAAATGTCCCATATTAGGTATTACATCTTTCAACAAAATTTCTATTATCGTATTGAGATATTTTTTCTGTTGAAACTCTTGCAGATTTTCAAAAAATGACGACAACTGTGTGACATCGTTATAACGTATACAGCAAGCTTTAGACATTTCTGAAATTATTCATTTGGATCATAAAATTAATTAATAAAAATAAATATAATTTTTTTTATACCTTGGAGGTCCTTGATACACGTACTATTCCAAATTCCATTTGACATCCATCCTGCAATCTCAGAATATTTTAATCTTGTTTTATGAGGTTCCACATTTTCGTTAGGATTTATATTAAATTTTGTTATAGTATGCATTTTATAAATAGATTCCAATCTTTTATCAAATTTCTCGATCTTTTCTATATCAATCATATCATTGTACACACTTTTTAATACAGAAAAGGATTCCATAACGACGCTTGCGACGTTATTTTCTTGTTCAGAATAATTATTTTCATTTTCATTCTGAAAAAAAAAAGAAAATAATTGTCCATAACATAAATTCGATATATTATGCTTACCATTAGTTTGAATTCTTTCAAAAATCCTGCTGCTGCTGTTTGATGTTGCAAATTATTCGCAGATTCCTGTGTATGTTTAAAATTTACGTAAGAATGATACGTTCTAAATATTTTTAACATTTCTTTTGGAATACCAAATTTATTAAGAGCATCCACTATGTCCATTGATAAGATTTCTTCGGTACATAGCGGAGCACTTTCTCCATGTAATGGACAATCTATTCTATTTATATTTGTAGATATAGTTGATATATTCTTGGATGATGCTAAAGATAGTTCTTCTATTAATTTAGTTAATTCACTTGTTGATGCTGCACAAACTTCAGGTTTCTTTTTTAAATTAACAGGTTTTGTATTATTATTCTTTATTTCTTTATTACTTTTATTACTATCTTGTAATTTGGCTGATTGTATATTTTTTATATTTAATTTGTTTACTAAAAGAAAATTCTTTTTTCCTTTTGGTTTAACATTCGTTTTAACATTTGTTTTACTCGTAGATAATGATTTTGATGCTTCTGTAGAATCTTGCTTTGATATTGCAGTCTTCGATACAGTTTTGATAACATTTTGTGGATTTTTATTAAATGATTTTAATTTTGTCTCTTCAGGAGATTTCAATTTATTTTCATACTTTATTGATTTACGACTGTATACTTTCTGTACATTTATCTTATCCAATTCCTTTTTTTTCAAAAGTTTCTCTTGTTTCAAAACGTTCGATGAAAGCTTTTTTCTTAACTTTTGCGCTTCCAGTATTGCTCTGCCTATCCCTTCAGAAATATTTTGATCTTGACTTTCAGATGACACCTAATTAATTTAAAAAATATAAAATTATATAAAAAAAATATTTTTACTAACTAATGAAATATAAATTAAACTTGTACCTTATTGCAAATACAATCATTCTTATAAACTTCTTTAGTAACAATGGTTTTAGTTATCCAAGGTTTCAAAGCATAGTTTGCTTCTACATATTCATATTGCAATGTATCTTTTACTGCCTCCGTGAATATTAAGGCTTGACGAATGAAGTCATTCAAAGATGATAATTTAAATTCTGGACTCGTTGCTTCGACCATATTCGAACAATTCTAGCGACATGAAAAAAAAGAATTAATTAAAAATAAAATATTAAAACTATATATTAAACACACAGTACCACTCAAAGTGTTGAATACTATATATTAAATCGGAATATCGATAACGTAAAAATTAAATAACGTATATATAAATAGAACATTATATACATAGATTATATATATTATATTCACATATTTCTAATATGCAACATTGGTTATGGTGAAAACATGTATATAAACATTACATGCTTCGAAAAAAAGTATTATTGGGTATTTATGGGATTTTATTTGAAAAAAAATAACCACTATAGAATAATATTTTATATATTAAGAATAATATAATAAAGACTTAAAGATATATTTCATTTTTTTTCTTTTCTTTTCAATTTATATCCGATTTCTAGCTCCCTAGAATTTGTCAGTCCATCGAATTTAGGAAAACATTAAACTTGCTGCCTACGCTAGAGTTCAAGACAATTAAGTTAATGATTGATGTAAATGCTGTAATGGAAATGTAATAATATATACGAGTCGTTGCCTCTAATATCATGATTGTGCAATATTCTTACTGTATTAATTTTCGAAATATTATTCACCGCGATAAGTTATCTTATATAAAAATAAAAATTGGCTTAGATGTACCAAACTCATCTTAAAGATTATTTAAGTATCCTGTTTTCACACTCATTGATATCACGACAACGGAAGCAGGCACAATCTGAAAACATTGAAGTTTTCAGGAATCACTGAATCATAATAAGATTAATATATAAAACGTATAAGTTAATATCTATCTTTGCATGAGTTATTATCGAAGTAAAGATTTTTAAACAGGATCATAATATGGACATCTCGTGCCACTCACAACAATGCTAGACTTACTTCAAGAACCCCTGCAAAAGGTTGCACAAAATACAATTATTTCCTTAATAATAAATTGTACATTATGAGACGCCTTGATTTAAAAATATAAAACTTAAAAATAACAAATGTAGATGCACCATTTAAAAAGATCTTAATAAAAACGAATGTTTATCTGAGAGGAAATCGTAGAATTCTTTGAATGGATGCAGGAAAGAGAAGGGACAATTATTAATTTTATTTCATTTGATTATGTGCGCCTATAATTCATCTTTCCTTGGCACATCGTCATCCTCATCTTCTTCTTGAGCCTATAATAAATATATAAATGATTAAATACGTGAAAAATATGACTTTACATTTATGTATTTTTAACACAAACCTCCTTAGGAGCTTGACCATATACACCACCGGATTCAATGAATTTAGATAATCCATCGAGTGTTCTCTCTTTATTGTATTCAACACCCTAAAATAACAAAGAATAAAATAAGCATGAAAAGTTCTATTTGTAACATTGAATAAACGAAAATAAAAATATACCTCATTTGTTCCTTTTTTGAAAAGAATAATAGTGGGATAATTAATAATCTTTAAATCTTCCAATTCATTCACAGTAGCGTCCATTTTCGCTATCACTACAGATTCATTATCTTCGTATTTCTTTCCTAACTAAAAATTAATTTTTATATTTAATAAAATCTTACAAGTCAATATATAAAGGAAAAAGGTTTTTAATAATATTAATGGACGTACTTCTTCGTATATAGGTGCAAGCTGTTTGCAATGTCCACACCAGGGAGCATAAAATTCAACTAAAACGTCTTTTTCTTTGTCAAATGCAACTTCATGGAAGTTAGTACCAACAAGAACTTTAACAGGATTTTTATCCCAATCTTCGGGCAAATCCTGAGTAAGAAAATGTCTCTTCAATTCGCCTTTTACGAAAGCAGTTACAAATTCCAAAACATTTTTGCTACTTATTTCTGGATTTTCAGGTTTATATTTTTCCATATCTTCATCTAATTTAATAAGACGAATAGCAGGAGCATCGTCTCTCTTAATGCCAAAGAATTCTAAGATTCTTTCATGATCAGCTTCATCCGAATTAATAGTTACGAACAAAACCTAAATACATATCAAAATGATAAATTTGTAATATTATATTCCAATACTTATATGGACATATTTTACAATTTCTAATATTTACCTTTCCACGGAATTCCTTTGCAGGTTCTTTAATTTCATCAACATATTTTTCAAAATGACCAGCTTCTTTGCTTAAAAACGCTAAAAGGTGACTTTTGATGGAACCACCAAATATCTTTTGAGCTGTATCTTGATTGAAATCAACGATTATAGGTAGAGAATGAACATTGATAAAGTTTTGAATATTTTCAAAAGTAAGTTCGCCGTCAAATTTATTCTTGCCTTCATCAAACTAAAAGAATATTAAATAATATGTAATCAATATATTAAATACTTATATATATGCATATATTTACATATGACATATTACCTTCTTGAACAATACAATAGCATCATCTTCTACTTCATATTCTTTCAAGACTTCTTCGGCATTTGAAATACCAAATGAGTAATCATCGACTGCATTGGCAACTTCCAAAAATAACTTAGCTGCTTTGGATTCTAAATCCTTTGTATAATATAAAATAATAAATGTAATGGTCTATATTATATATAATTGCCTAAACAGAAAAGTATAATCTGTACCTTGAAGAACCCAATTATTACAACTTCATGTTCATCGATGAAAGCCTTAGCTTTCTCTACTGAAGTTAAATCTTTAGCAGCAGGTCCTGTTTTTTTAAGAAGCCAATTAACGATGTCATCTGCCAAACGTCCACCATTGTAATCTATGGCAGATCCTTTACGGTAAAACTTAAGCGTGGGATATCCCCTAACACCATGTTTTTCTGCTAATTCAGTTTCTACAATTGCATCAACTTTAGCTAGCTTAATATTCGAACCAGAATCAGCTAATTGTTGGGCAGCTTTTGCATATTCGGGTGCTAATGCCTTGCAATGTCCACACCATGGTGCATCTAATTGATATTGCACAAATTATTTCGTTATTGTATTATACTGTTTAACAAATATTTTCTATATAAAAAGCAAAAAGATAAGATTTAATAGTTAAATCAAGTAGGACTTGAATAATAAATATTATTGACTAAACAGATGTTACAATATTGTTAATTAAACTTACAAATAAACGAACAAAAAAATGAACATGGTTACGTCGTTAGCCGGTACGCGAGTGATGACGTGTAAGGGTCGAACATCTGGTCTTAATTTTTTAACGCATTTAAACTTAATTAAATAATTAAATAAAGAATAATAAAAAGTAAGAAGCAACAGGAGGTCATAAAGAGTCCAGATTTAAATACGTAGGCGGCGAGAACGCATAACGAAAGGAAGAAAGGAAAAAAGTAATACTCACAGAATTCAATAAGAATATATTCATTTTCTTTGATCGCCGATTCAAAATTGTCAACGTTAATGACTAATACACCTTCGTCGAGCTCAATTTTTGCAATAGCGTAAGTTAGGCAGTGAACCGCCAAAATAATAGCCGTAATGGCATTCATCTTTGACATGATCACGTTCGACTACTAGTCTTGCACTGGACAAGAAGACAGCTGGAAGTAACTGCGAATGATGAAAAAAAATAAAATAAAATAAAATAAAGAGAAAATAAAATTAAAAAGAGAACAAAATCACGCAAGTAATTTCGTTTTAAAAAAGATTAACACAATTGTAATTAATTTAAATAAGATAGAAAAAGATGTATATACTAACTGACAGTGTATAATATTCGTAAAAATAAATTATAGAAGGAGAATAATGTTAGGTGAATAAGGGGAGACGAATATAAAGAGAACGCGAATCAAGTGAACGGAACAGAGCCGACGCGGACGATACTGTCTGACTATAACGTTCTATGTATATAGTAGAATCACAGTTAACGCGTGGCATCTCCTATTCATCGTGGGAGCCACTCATTGGCTGACGCCGTTGATCCAAATTATCTCTAGTATAATGACAAATTCTACATCATAATACTTACAAGTATCAAGGTTCATATTTATTGATACTTACACTTTTATTATTTTTGGAGCTATGTGATTCTTATCAATCGTTTAACTATAACACGTAGTTCATCGATATTGGTAATAGATTAAAATCATTCTTTTTAAAGAACCTTAACTCTTGTTTTTTTTCTTAACAATATTACTCATAGTACGATTTTTTTCTATATTTTCATTTAGGAATGATGAAAAGCGAGTAAAGTATGACTCCGCTTGTTTATTTTTTTACATTTACTTTTCTTTTTATTTTCAGATATATTTATTTATTTATTTAATTGTAATTCGAGAATGTGTCATTTTATTCTTATTTTTGTTCATAACATCTAATTAATTAAACTCGAATAAATGCAATTTAATAATTGTAATAAGCAAGATCATTTTTTCATTGATGCACTATCTTCGACAGTTAAATATTGCCGCCATTACTATTTATATAGCTGCGTAAACAGGTGTGTAATATATTTTTGAATTGTCAAACAAAAGTATTACTTAATAGTTATATAAATTCATCCTTGTATTTCATAATATTTAATCGACGTAAAGAGTTAAATTATTGCATTATCGTAAAATCGATAACAAAGTTATAATTTTTGTCATAACCTTACCGAATCATCAGAAATTATGTTCATTGCGTCAAATGATATCTCTCTCTCACTTTCTCTTTCTCTCTCTCTTTCTCTCTCTCTCTATATATATATATTTATTTGCTAATTAAGTAGCAAAATCTAATCTGTATATTCTATACTATAAAATAATAATTAATTTAATGTTAGATAATTCAATTATTACTTAAATACTTACATATATTAGACGTTGTTAAAAAACAAGAATCAACAGTATAACTAATAGCGGAAGACATACCAACGATCATTCTTAAAGCGCGGTTTTTAAGATTCGAATTTAAAATTTAAAATTTTCCAATTATATGTTACTTTCTATAAATAAAATAAATAAGTGTTATTTTTCATAGATAACAATTACATTTAAACTATTTCAAGAAATTATAATAATATACTTGAATTTCGTATAATGATTAATATTTGCTTCGAAGTTTAATAAATTAAAAAATATAAGAATTAAAATTAAAAAATACAATTTATTTTTTGGCGCGATTTTTAAGTACTTAAATAATAAATTTCTATATTGCAAATTATAGAATTTAGTTTTTATTACGAACTTTAACTTTAATTTTCATAAAGATTTCGTAGGACCTCGAACGTCAGATTATGTGCCAACTATTCTATAGTTAAAATACTCTTTATTGTACTTATACAAGCTTTTCTGTTTGCTATTAATAGAAAGCAATCAGTTTATATTCTTGACATTAGACAGTGAAGTCAGGGTAACGTTTAGAATTTTGTTTATACAATTGTTTATTTTTTTATATTAAAAACGTTATAATAAGTAAGTATTTTGTTTAATATTATTAAGTGATCACATAAGCCGAGAAAAAGTTATATAACAATCATACTCTAATAATGATTAGAAAATCATAATTCTTAAGTGCATTTGTTAATATATTATTTTTAGATGTCTGCTCATAAAATAACATCAGAAATATTTACTGAAAATGATAAGAATTCAAAAGAACTCAGTAGCGATAGTAAGTTTATTAATCTTTAATTTTTATCATAATTATCTCATGTATTATGGGGATCGCGGCAAGTAATGTCGTTTTTTACATTACATTCAAACACAACTTTAAAGTACATGATAAATGATAAATAATAAACAAATATTGAGATGCCCAGAAACTTTATTACTTTCCGGTTCCCCCAATATACTAATTTCTTTTTATAATATAATCATTGCTCGTTCTTCATTATAAGGTACAGTTACTCAATTTATCTTTAAATGCCCATCTTATATGATAAAATTAAAATCAAATATAAGAGCAATAAAGTATGACCAAGATGACGATCTGGATATAGACAGGAATGTAGAAAATATTTTATATATAGGTATGCATTTTCTATTCATTTAGTTTACTTTAAATAGTAAAAATTCTCTTTGTTTTATAGAACACAATGTATCTACAGAATTGCGAATGGTAGGCTTGCAAGTATGGCGAGGTGCCCTTTTACTAGCCGATTATATTTTATCCAACCCTGATTTATTTAAAGGAAAAATAATTATGGAGTTAGGATCCGGTGTCGGTTTAACTAGCATTGTTGCTAGCTTTCTAGCAAAAGAAATAATTTGTACAGGTGATGATAATAGATGAGAGATAAATAGTACTTTCGTGAAAATAGTCTTATTCAATTATTAATATTTGTTTACTTCTTCTTCTTCTTCTTGTCTAGATATTAATTTAGGTGAAATATTAAACGTAGTTAAGCGAAATTTCATAAGAAATATATCTTATGTGAAATGTAAATTCCATATAGAAGAATTAAATTTCTTAAATTTAAAATGGTCTCAAAGTTTAGAAGAAAAAATTGATGTGACGGATATTATCATAGCTGCGGATGGTAAGCTTGTGGCCGAATGAAATGAAACTTGTTATTAAAAGCATTACTGTTCTTGTTTGCAGTGATTTATGATGATGTTATAACGGATGGATTTGTTACCACATTAGACAAAATCTTAAAAAAGAAAGATTCAAAAATAGCTTACATAGCATTGGAAAAAAGGTATGTTTTCACTGTTGCTAATATGGACACTGTTGCTCCAATGTATGAAGAATTTCTACGTTGTATTAGAAGACGAAATCTTAACTGGAACATAGAATATGTGAAAATAGATTTTCCACGATTTTTTAAATACGACAGAGTAAAACATATGATTTTAATGAAAATAGAAAATAATGATAAGTAAATATATAGTATACAAAATATTAAATTATTTAATTTGGACTATAAATCCTTACAAATTGATTTAATAAATGTACCTAGTTAAGAATCAAAGGATTGATAATTATTCATAGAAGAAATATTTTTATTTGTCAGAGTTATCTGAACAAGATCATTATGATTTGCCTGTAGATGTTTCTTCACGAAGCAATTCCATTTCTTTTCATATTACTTTACCTAAAAAATAAATATAATTTTTTATTATTTTATTCATATATATGTATATATATGTATATATTGTAAAAATGATTTATCTTCATTGACATCGTCATCATAATAAATCACAGCAATTTCGGTACTCTACTTGTTTGTAAACAAGTCTATAATATTATCTAATAGTACAGTTAGTTTCTATCATTTCAATGGTTAGAAAAAAAAGTATTTACAACTGTACAATTCTCTGTACTCCATTATAATTCCAAGTATGGGTATAATTAGAATTAATTTTACTATTTATTTCTTCTTTTTATTAGTGGATATATAATGATTTCTTACACATCATTTTTAATATATCCAATTGTATTGTGATTGTGTATAACTGGTATTTTTCTTTAAACTATGTAGTTTGGTGAATAAATGAAGACTGTTTCTTTGACATTTATCAAGTCTGCAGTAGGGTCGTTTTACATTTCCAAATAAACTTTTTCCATTCGAATACGGGAAGAGTTTTTAACTTATTTTGTAGTAACATCAATATTGTCAATGTTACCAAAATTACTTAATTTCATATTAGCGCAGATTTTCTTAATTTTATAAGATTTATATCTTTTGGTGTTGATTTCTCTAAATAATTTATATCAATGAATTAATTTCTTTTAACAAACATATATAACATTTTAAAATTACCTTTAAAGTTATCACATCCATTGTCACTATAAGATATAACAGATAAAATAGTTGTTAACATACTAAAGGATATGGATTACAGAAATTTAAGGATAAATAAAAAATTTTATATCGTGGATTATAACATTCATTTCCTTGGATAAATATTATTATCAAAAGTTAAAATTTGTGATGACAACTGGTTCCTTCAGACAATAAGATAAAACCAATTTCATACAGTTTGTTTTTTAAAATTTGCTTGTTTCATATAATGTATATGATGAGAGACGTAATAAGATACTAAAAACTTCTTTCCCTCTCTCTCTCTCTCTCTCTCTCTCTCTCTCTCATTCTTTCTCTTAATAACACATCTTATTGTAGTCTAATACAAACTATCGTTAGAGAAACTTTGAAAGTATTTCAATATACTTTAAATTCCAAACAAAAGTAATAATTACCACTTATTTTTATGTCCATGTATTTTATTGTAATTTTTCTTTTTTATTTTTTTCTATTTACATCCTAGCATAGAGACAATAATATTAATGGACAGTAGTTGTGAAGTCGTTCGAAGAAAACGAAGATTCCAAAATTTTTAACAAACATTAAGAGCAAGTGTATGAATAACTAACAAAAACAAATTGAAAGAAATGATATTATACGTAAAGGAATGTAAACGTTTCTTCGAACAACTACGGGCAGTAAAAGTCATATATTACACTCAAGTAAACATTTTATCATGATGCACTAGCTCTGATTTACAAGCTTTTATGAGAGAACAATATGACTTATAATATATATTATGGGAAACAAAATATACACATAGAGATTCCCAAAATGGTCAACAATTGTTACTCTCATATACAGACCTTGCTAGTTTGGTAAAGGCACTTTCAACCTATGCATTCCTTCTTTTATAAATTTAAATTTACAATTTAAGATTTGTGTAATCCAAATAGAGCACAAAAGATCAACTTTAATTAATTTAATTCTATCTTTCATTCTGACGTTTTCATCAATAAAATAAATTTGTATAATTCATCCATGATGGTATAGATGTTAAAATATTAATATGATAAGTTATAGGATAATTTAAATTAACATTCTATAAAATACAAAATTACTATACTGTATAAAAAAAACAGCATGTACAAAAAAAAAAGATGACATATTGATTATATGTGAAAGCAGAAAAGTTAACAAGAAATTTTAAAAAGTTCTATTTTTTTTTAAATAATTTCCCCAAAAATTGATTGTCTTTTAGGGTCAATGTTTTTTATCACAAAATTTAATTTCTATTACAAATTAATGTGTCTTACTACTTTTATGAGGCAGAGAATTTTATATTATATTATTATGAGCGTAAATTTTAAACCATTTGTACCAATACGTTGTAACATCCAAAGATATAAAATATATATAACATAAATAGTATCATTGACTAGACCATACAAAAATCAGTATGATACCATATGTTTAAAAAATAATAATTGTTGCCAATATATAAGTATTAATTAATACAATGCGTTTTGAACTAATGCAAATTACTTAAAAAGGAACAGCTTAAGCATTCCTTTTTCTCATTCATTTTTTAATTCATCAAAAAACTGCATATAAAATCAAAATAAACGTTAATGTGTTGACTGAAACATATGCATAGAAACAGTCGATTTTACATTTTGAGAATTTGGTGATCCCAAGGGTAGCGACGTTTTCCTCCTAGCGTTAGAACTTGAACAGTCATTATTAAAACTGATTTTTGTACTACTTGCTTTAGTAGTAGTAACATCAGTAGATGCCTGAAAACCTGTGGATACCCATCTATCTACTTGAGCCTCATGAGATTTTTGCAAAACTTTGCGAACATCACCATTTTCACCTCCTTCTTTCATAATCTCCTGGAGCTTTTGAATAGTCTGATAAAGAATAACGGGACTAATTAAACCAAAATCAAATAAGCTGCACATATGCAGTACAAAATTTCGATACAAATTTTTCATAAGTAATTCCTTTCCTTTGGTTTCTAAAAACATTTGGCAGGCTAATGGTATTTGACAGTCTCCTACATATCCATACTTCATAACATGTAGATTCCACATTTTCATTAATTCTTTTTCTCCCTCATTAACATCAGTAAAATCATCGATCATCATCATTGTCTTTGTTTGCAACCACTTTGGATCATTTTCTCCTTCTGAGTCAATATCCATTTCTTTTGGATAAATAGGCAAACAAGTAACGGTATGATGATATAATCTGCATAAGTCAACAACATTGATCAGATGCGAATAGAAAAAAAAACAAAAAGATTTTGGCCCTCTAATAAAATATTATCGATCCTACCTATTGTGTCCAGTGATATAAGGTCTTTGGCTTTCAAATTCATTTTCATCGAGTTCAAGAAATTCAGATAAACTCGGTTTTGTTCTCTTTGGCCGACAGACTAAAATATTAGTTACGCTCGTACGTCTAGTTGGGCCATTGGAACGTTGCTGCCCTGACGCTGCCACAGCTCCAAAGGGGGCAGATGGTTGAGTAATTAATTCATGTGGACTACCAGCATATGAACCATCATAACATTCGTTTATTGCTACATCTATACGGGCACCTTGTGGTATTGGCTAAAAACGATACATTTGCTTATTAATTAACGCCCAACTAACGAAATTATATTAAATAGTTTCTTCTTCTCCCAAAAAAAAAAAAAAGAACAACTTACCACGTAGGTAAATGTAAATCTAGAATGGCATAATTTCAAATGCTTTAAAAGAGAGTAGAGTTTTCCACAATCTAATGAACACCATGGGCAATGAAGATCCTCACAAGCCTCTGTTTGTTGACGACTGTTATTATTATATAAAAATTGATAAACTATTTGTTGAGTACCCATTGAATTATCCATTTTTTCAGTGGATACAGACATTCTCGAAGGGGTCAATGGACTAGGTGTTGGCAGTGTTGCATTATTGTTATTGTTCGTGTTATTATTATTATGATTTGTAGAAGAACGCTCAAAGCCAGCTAAAGTAATTACATATGCACAATATTAAATACATATTATTATTTAAATAGTAGCAAGAACTTACTATTGCCTGATCGATTTTCTTTATTGTCACCGCTTGGCACTGGATGAATAGGAGCAGGTCTATCCACTAAACCATTACTTGGCTCCATAGTCCAACTAAGTCTAAATTTGAGTGTAGGACCTCTACTGAACACTTCAAAAGGACCACTATCTTTAATGTCAGGTACACTTTCCCAAGAACTATATTTCTTTGGGCTGGATCTAACATTAGCGTGTACTTCCTGCAAACCTAATTCATAATCACCATCTGTCAGAAGACATCTGTTATGTTTATCATATACTATGAGCTCAGAGCCATACAATTTTACTTCTTCACTACCGCTTTTAATTGAACCTGCAGAAGACTTTCGACGTTTCTGTGCTGGTTCTACAAAAGGAAACATATATTTCAAGTATTTATATATAACTTTTGCTAGATATAATCTGATATAATTTTGCATATACCTTCTAAATCACAGCTATGTATAAGGCAGCTATTATTAGACGTACAATATACCCTTAATAAAAGCATATATGTCTTTGCTAGATGTCCATTATTTATGGTAAATGATTCATTAGGTATTGAGATTGTTGGTGCTTTAGGTGGAGGTTGATTTTCTAAAGGATTAATTGGAACTTCACTGGTTCCAACAGATACCTAAACAAAAAGTTTTGAATTAGTATGTATTAGGTCGTTGCATAATTTCTGTCGTATTTCTTTCTCATACAGTGTTTTATTTTTGCATCAATATAATAGGACATTTTTTTATTGGATATTGACAAATTGTTGTTAATAATTGTCGATATATATCATTAATTAAATAAATTTTTTCGCAGATTTCTGGTAGTTTAGATCAATTCAAAATACGACGGAAATTATACAACGACCTAATACTATAAAACATATTCATTGATGATAAACTTACTTGCATAATAGGTGAGCTTACATCTTTTCTTTTCTTGTGACAAATTTTTAAGAGTAAAGTTTCTACCTTTACTGGATCCTGTGATGCTTCAACTATAATGATATGAAAATATAATACTTTGTAAGTATAAATTCAAAGAATATATCAATCTATATAAGAAAAAACTTACTCTTTTTATCATAGAATCCTAAAAATGTAAGTGTCATATATCCACGTACACCAAGAATTTGTTCTTCCATATTTTTTGACGTTAATTTTTCCAATATTGTGTCAATTTTAAATCCCCTACGGGATTTATGACTCCTGGACATACGTTGCCTCATATATGTCAAATTTCTATAGAGAAATATTGGCTAAAATAAATAAAATCAATTAAATTGTTGAACTTGTTAAATTTCATGTGATATTAAATTAAAAATAAAAATTATTGAATAAAATCAAATAATAAATATCTGACAAAATATAATATTATACCTACCGTAATAAGTATCCTGGATGTAAAATTATATAATAATAAAAAATAGATTATAATTTTTAAAATATGAAATAGTAACTTCGTTGCATTATTAACATATAAACAAACACAATAAATTACTATAAATCACATTCAATCACTGGTCATAGTAAATCCTATAATTTTTAAAAATCAAACGATACTAACAGTATTGTGTAATATGCTTAATAATATACATAGAAAATATATAGCATTAACACTTTGAGTGGATCAGAAATTAATATTATACATATACAATATTAAATATAATAATTTATAACTTGCTTACTTACTGATATTTGATTTCTTGTACGTAGAAAGCGATAAATTTGTGTTGGTTCTGTAAAGGAATGAATAAATTTATCAAATACATCTGAGAGATGTTAAATGCACAAATAAAAGATTTTTAATTATAAATATTATAAAATGAATGGTATCAAATTAAAAAAAGAAATTTTATTGGTAAACTAAAAATTATTGTATAAGAATTTTTAATATAAATATAAAATCAAATCTAAACAGTTTCACGAGAAATAACTAGATGGCGTATTAAGTAAAACTTTTCTCGCAAGGAAATAATATTACTCTGGAGTACAAATACTGAATCTGAAGCGATTTCTGATGATCCTTCTGTTGATCAGAATGGGACGTGATGATTTGGTTTTGCTCGTCGATACGAGATGCCTGCACCGACTCTTGTTACGACTTCGGCAGGATAAACCTCTCTGATCCCATTAAATTTTTAATTCATGACTTACAATTATTACTAAAAAATTATTTATTACGACTACCAGATATAGAACTTAATGCCCTGCTGATAAAAACTAAGAGTTTTGATTTCTGACCGTTCTTACATTGTACGTTATGTGTTAGATTTCAAAAAAATGTTAATAGACGAGAAAGCCATTCTGTACAATTTCGAAATATTTTCTTTTTAAAAATATTATATATATTATCTATTAATTATTTATATTTTCTATTTAACTGTTTCAATAACCAATATTTTATTTAAATACAAAATTTAATTGAATATAAAATAGAACAAATATATTATAAGTACGAAGTAGCGTATATAAAGTTACATTTTCATCAGAATTTAATACAATGTTTCTGTAGGTAAATTTGTGAGAATAACTTGAGTTGTTTTTCGAAGAGGATTTAAAGTAAAAATACAACAGAACGAAGACACATCGTTTCATTCGGCTAAATATAATCGATATTTTCTTAACCGTTTGGTAAAAGTTAAATATATTCGTAAGTAAGGTTAATAAAAGCGCGGTTTGTAAAAATTAAAGCGAAGAGGCAAATGCTGACAGGTGTCTGCGACAAGAAGAATAAAGGAGGGAGGTAACTGAACCGACGCGCGCCACGGCGCTGGACGGACCCTTTGAAAATAGGGTTATGTGTTAGCATGAAAAAGATTAACAGTTAGGATCCATAAAGATACCGTTGGAACAATGCTAATTAAAATTTTAGCACTTAGATAGGTTGAAACAACTGATAAGAATGAAATATATGTAAAAGGGGGGAAAAAGAGATAGCAACTTTTTCTACTCACTTTCGAAGGCTTGAAGAAATAGCTCGTGGTCTGCCTGTATTTGATCCATTCGCGGGCCCTTTTGTCCATCCAATTCTTTCTCCCGCTTCTTTGGGGGCATTTTTCACCTTAATATTTACAGATTATTCCACAGAAAGCACACTCTTTCCCGTGTAAAATCCGATGACAACACCCGCCCCGCGCGAAAACTGCGGCACTCGACTGCCACTGACGAAAGCGCAACCTACCAGCATTATTTTGTAATCGCTTCCCAAATCCACGAATCATAAAATAATTAGTACTACACACCGACACCTAGTCTTATGCAGCACTTATTGCACGTGGTCATCCACGTGATCAATACGTCCACCAATTGCAACGATTAAGTAAATGAAGATCATCCAATAATATCGACTAATCGTTTTAATTCTTCTTAAAAAAATTTCAATAATATTAAACAATATTTATTGCAACATGTAAAAGAAATTCATTTATAAATGCGTTTTCAATGGAATTGTATTTGTACTTATCTAAACGTAAGAAAACTTTATTTTTCGTTAGTTAATCAAATTCAGTATTGAATTAATAACTTTTTTACATCAACTTCTTTTTGTTATTATCGTGAGCCGTATATTCGTATATAATTTTTTAAATGCATAATGTTAAGTGAACTCAATGTTATTTATCATTTTGTAAACTCTATTTAAGAATAAAGTGAAAGTCATTCCGATGAACTGTTACACAAGTATTTGGTAGACCTGAAATCATTTTGATTGGTCAACAGAACACAGTCCATCATGGAGTACGTCGGTAGGTATTGAATCCTGCCAATTTATTGTCCTATCTTTTGAAAAAACTATTAGGAATAATTGTGTGTCCTTACGGATATAATAATAATGATTATTTTTATTATTTTGTATATTAAACATTTATTTATTCCTTCTTAAAAATTGATTTATAAGGGAACATTCGAAATAACAACATATATATGTAACTTTGTTAATTTTACTATAACAATGATTCTTCATTTTATATAAGTATGTTCTGTACGTATTTATAAAATTTTTTAACGTCTAAACAATTAATGATTAGAAAATATTTTCATCAAGTATATGGTTTTTTGTCTAAATCAATTTTATGGAACATAACCTTCACGTTAAGGTAATCACAATACGCTGAGACAATAAGGTTGTCTGAGCGTATGAAACAGGTGGACTTTTGTATGATTTCATTATCACATGTATCAACAAATTCCTCGATTTTATATAATTAAAATCTTAATTATCAAATCTCTCGTTATAGTTTTTATCTTTAATAATTGAAGAAGTTTAAAGTCATTCAAATTGTTCACTATGTATTTTTTTTTAATATTTACGTAGGTACTACCAAAGGTGACGAAAATGACAAATGTTGTAATTCAACTTTGTGTCCAGAAATAGTAGCCAATTCCATGTCAGATGAGAATGCATCGGAAAAAACCAATGTAGTCAGAACAGATGAAGAAAATGCTAGTGTACAACAACAACAAGAACATACCGAAGATGCAGCTGCTGCTACAACATCACAAAATATATCAGAAGAAAAAATAGACTTTAAAGTAATCTACAACAAACAGAAGATAAATGTTAATTTTGCATTAGATGGGACCGTGGCTGAATTGAAAACGCATCTTCAAAATATTATTTCAGTGCCCCATGTAATGCAGAAAGTTATGTTTAAAGGATTAGCCAAAGATGAACAAACGCTTAGAAACTTGGGAGTTACAAAAGGTGAAGATTGTAACATTGATACTTTTCCTATAATAAATGATTATATCATGAAATTTCAAATAGATTATCGAAATTTATGTTTTCGAAGGTGCCAAAGTCATGATAGTAGGATCAAAACTAGATGACATATTAGCCGTATCTATTCCGTCAAAGCAAGATCTCGCTGATGAAGCTAGTTCTGCTGCAAGTAAGGAACCTTTATCGCAACAAAAAGTACACCGTAAAGTTCTAGATAAAGGTATGCCGGATGATGTCATGCCTGGTATTTTAGATAGTAAGGTAATCAAATATTCCAAACTATAGAACAAATCCACTAATGTGGATTACAAATTCTGTAAAACTTGAAGACCCACATAAAAACATTTTAGTTTCTTCTTGTAGGAACCACTACCTGAATTTCCTATCTCAGGTATGTTGAATAAATCTGGCGGAAAGGTTAGACTTACATTTAAATTAGAACAAGATCAGCTTTGGATCGGTACAAAAGAAAGAACAGATAAACTACCTATGAACTCAATAAAAGGTGTCATTAGCGAACCAATAACTGATCATCCAGAGTATCATATTATGGTATGTTTGAGTATTGGATATTATTATTTTCCTTTTTTTTTTTTTTAATAATAAACTTTAATTATTAATTTTTTAAATAAAATATATATAGGGTATACAATTAGGCACAACAGAAGCATCAAGATATTGGATATACTGGGTTCCGGCACAATACATATCAGCCATCAAAGATGCTATTCTTGGAAAATGGTGTTATTTCTGATCAAGTGCAAATGGAAATTTTGTTTTCTCGGAAAACAATGTGTAATCGAGTGTAAACATTGACACAAATACGATTGTGCTAGTCACACACTTTTAACAGTAAGTAATAACTTATTTTGCGTTGAAATGTCACTGAGGAGTCCCAATAAAAATAATTTGTTCTAGTAAAAAATATCTTATATAGATAATTAAGATTTCAGTTAATGACTGTTACATGATATGCGTCTCTATTCATTCTGCCAATGTTTCAGGTTCTTAGAATAATCTTTTGAAAGTGCTTTTAAATTAATGTGACACATGACATAATCTGTGATTATTGGAACTTCCAAAGCTCATAATCTATTACAATGTTACACAGTTTAAAGTGCAGTTTCTTTTTCTAGGAAGGGGGGGAGTGGTACTGAAATTATTACGATTACGTTACATCAAATTTATAAATTGTCCTAATTAAAATAAGAAAATCACGAGAAGAGTATTGTTTTTATTTGGACACTTTAGCAGAAAAAGTTATAGCTTAATGAATGAGTCAATTGGAAAATTCCAAGTCTTTCTGATTATTGAAATACGGGCTTTTAAAATTTAGAATAAAAGTGAACATTTTATAAAATTCCATTTGTAGGAAGAAGCGAAGAAAGAAGTTATGATGTTGCATTTACTGACATTTGAAGTTCGTCGAGAAATATTTCATCTGATTGTCATAATTGTGAACATTTTTTAATCAATTGTTTACTTATCAAAAATCAATTTATTAGACATTTGAAACAATTTCGCAATTAAAAAACAAGTTTTTCTTTTTTGTTTTATGCATTAACTATATTTATAAATTTTATTATATCACAGAGCATGATAATACTATATAATTATATGATAATAATTATCATAACATTGCATCTCTATCTCTCTCTCTCTCTCTCTGCGATAAAAATTAAAACTTATTGCTTTGTGATAATAAGCAAGATAGTAATAAACTCAATATTAGTGTATACTAACATAAAATAACAACGAATTCCACTCTACCTTAAATTACAAAATATACTCAAACTATTTTCACATTGGCCTAGGGATAAAAATAATATTGTAAAGAAGAAGAAAAAAAAGAGGAAAAAAAAGAAGATGAAATTATATATCAAATCCTTGCTGTCTTGAAATCCATATGGATTGCATCTCGACGAGCACAAATAAAAGATATTATGTAGCTTATTTAGTATTATAACTCTTGTAAATTAGGTTTTATACCATGTAATACGTGTAATTTAAATGGAAGTACTGACACGATAAAAAAAAATCAAAATTTATTATTAACATGTATCGAAAGAGTCGATTCATTGCACATTTATTAAAGTCTGTATCGGAGGGTCATTTAAAAATAAAACTTGTAAATTATGTTGTGTGATTTGGTAAAATAAAATGAGAAGTTTTAAAACTATAAAATCTTTGTTTGTAATTTATGTTGTTGATATGATTGCTTGTTATTTTTAATTTTATCATGCTTTTAAATATTCGAAAATATTTAATTTAAAAGTAAAATATATATTTTTTTTTCTCTCTCTCTCTCTCTTGTTCTTTCTCTCTAAATGCTGTATTTTGTTGAAGCAAAACTCTCTTATGTTAGTTGATGGTCTACATCATCTGTTAACCACATGGATTACAGGAAATGACTTATTAAGATATTGCATTAATATGCTTGTAGGCTGCATCGCTGTTTAGTAGCTTGAAATGTTAAAAGTAGATGTTATACGTTCGTGGAAAATAGAAAGAAAACCTTTTACTATTTTGTATTCTATAAGTTTTTTTTTCCAATGTTATCATTGTTATGAATAAGTGACAGTCATAAGTAGTTCAAGGTTAGACATGATGCTGCATGATAAACACATGAAAGTGAGTTTTTAAATTAAATATATTTTAATATGTTCCTTTGCGTTATAATAATTGTTTTTTTTTTCATAATTGATATTAATATCATTAAATACTCAACGTTTAAAAAAAATAATCTATAGAAACAATGAATTCTAACATATTTGTATGTTCTTTTATAAGTTTGGGTTAGGTTTACAACTCAACTGTCGGTCAATTAGATAATTTAAATCATATGATTAATTTAAGAACATTTAAAACGTTTAATCAAATTGTTGATACATGTTAAATTACTTAAATAGACAAGTTTATTATATTAGGCATTTTTTTTTAAATCAAAATTAATAGAAAATTTTCAAGGACAAAAATATTATATTTATTAATAAAATTTAATAATTATCAATTTCAGATTAAAAATAAAATATTATGACATATTAAGATTTCTACTCCAAAAAAATATAGATAGAATTATGGAAATTAACAAACGCTTAGAACTTATAGAAGAAACGTTTCTTGTATTAACCGAAGATTTATTAAAATATGGAGTAACAATTAATGATCTAAAAATGACCATCGGCATGACGGATAATATAAAAATAAATAATAATGGTAATGCGTATTATTTCAGAAAAGCATTTTTTGTTTTATTAATATCCATTATTTATGGTTTATTTTTCACGTATTTGTACATTGATGTTATAACAAAAAATTTTTATGAAACTCGTTGTATTGTGCCAAACAACTATTTGATATGGGAATTTACAAGACCGATATCAAATTGTGATTATTGTCGTAACATTAATATGCCAATAATATTGTCGGACGTGACTAAAAAGGAATTTGAACCGTATGCTTATTCATCC